TTTTTTATTGATTTCTATTTATTACTTAGTTTGACCGTTAACTCTTTCTCTGCCATGTGATTTTTATTGAGCATGTTTTATGATTCAACTTCCTCTCCTCTTTAGCACAATAGTTTAGCACATTCTTTTTAGTGGTCGCCCTAACATTTGCAATGTGCATTTACAACTAATCCATATTCTCTTACAAGTAATAGTACACCATTTATATTATAAATAGCTTTTAATTACAAAATAATCCTAATTCTTCCCTCTCGTTCTTGTATCAGTGCTATCATGCATTTTGCTTATTACAAGCATAAATAAGTGGATTATATGAATATCTTACTGCTATTATTTTAAACAAGCTATTATACATTAGATCAATTTAGAATAAGACAAATTTTTAATTTTTCCTTCACTTATTCTCTCTCCAATGTTGTTACTTTCTTTATGAAAATCTTTGTTTCTAACCTGTATAATTTTTCTTCTCTCTGAAGAACTTCTTTTAACATTTCCTGAAATACAGGTCCACTGGCAAAGAAGTTTCTCAATTTTTGTTTGTCCAACAAAGTCTATATTTCTCCTCACATTTGAAGGATAATTTCACAAAGTACAGAATTTTTAATTGATGTTTTATTCCTAAGCACTTTGAATATTTCCTTGCACTCTTTTGCATGGTTTCTGAGAAGGTGGATATAATTCTTTTTTTGTCCTGCAATGGGTAAGATATAGTTTTCCTCTGACTTCTGTCGAGATTTTTCTTTATCTTTGATTTTCTGTTGTTTGAAATTGATAGCCCTAGGTGTAAATTTGGAGATATTTATCCTGCTTGGTGTCTTCTGGGCTGCTCCCTTACCCTAGTATGTGATTTGGTGTTCAAACTAAATTCAAAGGAACGCTCAATAATTATTTCAAATATTTTTTTGTTCATGTGTTCCTTCAGATATTTCTGATTCACATATGTCACAACTTTTGTACTTCTTCTACAGTTCTTGAATACTAAATTCTTTTCCTTTTAGTCTTTTATCTTTGCTTCTCAGTTTTGGAAGTTTCTATTGAGATTTTCTCAAGCTCAGAGATTCTTTCCTCAGCCATGTTCAGTCTGCTACTAAGCTCATCAAAGCCATTCTTTATTTCTGTTATAATACTTTTGATGTCTGGCATTTCTTTTTGTTTCTTTTTCTTAGCATTTCCATTTATTTGCTGGCACAGATCATCTGTTTTTGCATGCTGTCTATTTTACCCGTTAGAGACTTTGGGACATTAGCTATAGTTATTTTTTAATTCCCAGTCTGACAATTTCAACATCTCTGCCATATCTGTGTCTAGCTTGATACTTGCTTGATCTCTTCATACTGGTTTGTTTGTTCTACTTTTGTTTTTGTTTTTCCACTTAGGATACCCAGCAATGTTTTCCTTAATAACAAGACATGATATCCTAGACAGGCTGTTAGAGATGCGACAGTAAGGTGTAGGGGACAGGAAAGTGTTCTACAGCCCTGTGATTAGGAACCAGTTGTCTGGTGAGCTTGTGCCTCTGCACTGTGAATTCCACAAGTGTTTCTCGATGCCTCCACCTCTCACAGATGGCTGAAGTTGGATACTTCTCTTCTCTTGGATCAGTTAGGCACTAACAAAATCCCAACAAGTTAGGCTATGGCTTACGAGTTTCACATAGGGAGAACCTTTTAAGAATATAAATCTCTGGCTTTTGGGCATAATTCCTACTGCTACCCAAACAGATATGGATTCCTCTCTAATAGTCATTGCAGGAACCTGGGAGAGCTCTGGGCATGATCTCACAGAATTGGGGTTCAGGCTAATGAATGGTCTTCTTCGTTTTGTCTTTCAGATTTGCCCATGGTGAGCCTTGTCAATTATAGCTTGGATTCTCCTCTGGTTCCTGTGGAAGTTTCTATTCTGATAAATTACAGAGCTCTCTCTTCACCCTTTTAGTTCTCCAAATCTGCAGGGGGCAGCAGTTTACCTTGTGACCTCACTGCTGTTAGAGATCTAAAAAGAGTTGTTAGTTCTTCACTTTTACTTGTTAGAATGGAGTGGTAACTTCCAAACTTCTCACATGCTAGACCAGAAACTAGAAACCACTATTTCTTTCAAAAACAATTCAAAACTCCATCAACTGAATAAATAAAGTATTGTCTATCCATACAAGGTAATAATATTTAGCAATAAAAAGAAATGAACTACTGATACATGTTACACTATCGATAAAGCTCAGGGATGCTAAGCATGAGGAGCCAGATGCAGAACACACACTAGATGATTCCATTTATATGAAATGTTCAGAAAAGATAACTCTCTGGAGACAAAAAGCAAATTAGTGGTTTCTTGAGGCTTGAGGTGAAATGATGACTGACCAGAAATTCTTGCAAGGGATCTCACCGCATAATGGAAGAGTTCTAAAACTAGATTGTGGTAAAGGTCACATGATTCATTAACTTACTGAAAATTCTAGTGTTCTTTCCAAAGGTGACTTTTGTCATCTCAAAGAAGTTAATTTTTAATAAGAATAAAGATTTATTTGGGGAGCATAGAAAATCTTTAAAGCAAAACAAGCAACGGCTCCTTGCATTCCTAATGACAGTGACTTCAATTCTTCCCCCTTTTCCTACCCTTTTTTCTTTACTGAGATGAAGCATTACTGGATTCTTGCAAAAACCTTCACTGTTTCTTTTAAAAATATCATATTCCCCATATCACTGTATTTTTGCTATTGTATTGATATACTGTATTTACTTTTTAGCTCTTTCTTGATTGGACAATTCTAGATCTCCTTCACCATACATAACTTACGTGCCCATTTTTGGAGTGAATTTCTAGAAATCAAATAATTGAGTCACATTTTTAATGGTTTTGATGCATTTCTAGTGTATAGGATCTCTTTCCATCAGAAGCTGAGCAGGTTTCTGTTTCTCAACACCTGCACCAAAGCTGTGTGTGATAATTTGTTTTATCTTTTCCAATTACAAGAGAAAAACAATATTTTGTTGTTGATTTAAGGGAGGCTGCGCATATTTTCATTTATTAATAGCTTATTTGTTGTTATTAGCTTATTTTATTTTGTGAAATGTCCATCCTTTGCCCATTTTTACAGTGAAGTACTTTCTTTTTGTTGAGTTTAAAGATAAAAGATAAACAAGCTGGGTGTGGTGGCACACACTTGTAATCCCAGCACTCAGGAAGCTGAGGCAGGAGGATCATTGTGAATTTGAGACCAGCCTGGGCTATAAAGTGAGCTCAAGACCAACCTGCATAGTGAGACCCTGTCTCAAAAAGACAAAAAAAAAAAAAAAAAAAAGATAAACAAACAATGAGTTTCAAAACAAGTTAGTAACTACAATAGTTCATACATTGCTGATTGTTGTCTTTGTAGTCAATATTCAGAGTAAAGGATACAGGTATAATATCTTGTCTAAAAAATAGTAGCACAAAACATTCTTTTCAAGGAACAAAGGACTATACTGACATCCTTAGAAAGGCCTCTTCCACCCCAATATAGTTCCACATTCACCAATATATTCTCATAGTGTTCCCTTTTCTTTTCTCTTATTTTCTTGCTACTTATTCTTTATTTCACCTGGAATTTATTGTAGTTTATGGATTAAGATTGGAGTCTAACTTAAATTTCTCCCAAATAATTGATTAGCTGTCAAGGCACAATTAATGAATAATTCATCCTTTCTCTATTGATAGGAAATAACCACCTTTATCATGTTTTAAATACCTATCTCTAGTTGAGTCTATTCAGAAAGACTTTTGCCTCATTCTGTTGATCTGTGTTGTCACAGAGTCTTACAACGTGGCTTTAATGATTTTTGTTTAATAATATGTTTTAAAGTATGGCAACTTAAACCAACTTAGACCATTCTTTTACAGACATTTTATAGTCATTATCTTATACTTTGTCTTTGAGACATATTTTAGAGTCAATTTGTCAAGTAAAAGCAAAATTCTTCCATGACTCTAATTGGAGTTAAATTAAACTAAAAAAATAATTTGTAGAATACAGGTCTCCTCATTTAAGTGTATGTTTATACATTTCGGTTTCCATTTGTTTTTGTCATTTTAAAGAAACCAGAATGGCACACTGCTTTCTTGGGTTTATTGTTTGCCATTTAATCTTTTGCTGATACTATAAAAGAAATCCTTTTCTATTATGTTTTCCTACTGGCTGTCACCGATTCAAGGAAATACTATTAATTTGTGCTAAGCAGTCATTTAACTTAACACTTCTACTAGCTCTTACTCGTTCTTATGGTTAGGAATTTTCAGGGGGCATATTTATGTTTGCAAATAAGAGTTATTCATTTTCAAAAGTTGTACCTCTAAGTACATTTTCGGTCTTGCTTTGTTGGTTAGCATATAGTGTGAATCTTTACCTACAGATTTTTTTTCTTTAACAAAAATGTGCCCCGTATCTCACTGGACATCAAGGGTTGTGATTATAAAAATAAATGTAAGCTAAAAGTACTTCAAGGAAGTGTCTTTTCTGGTGCTATTTTATTAAGCATTATTACTAGCAGTAGATATTGTATTTTATCAAATATCTCTCTGAATTTGGTGAGTTGATTGTGTGTTTTTTTCTCCTTTGAACTATTGATGTAGTAGAATGATATTCATAGATTTCTTCATATTGAACACCACTGTTACATTCCTAGAATAAAACTCTATGTGGTCATGGTATGTTATTCTTGTAATATTCTGATAGATTCTGCTTGCCAGAATTCTATTGAGTATTTTCACAGCAATTTTAATGCTAGTAATTTTATTTCGGCCCTGTCAGGTTTTGTTATCAGGAATTTGTTAATTGGATAAAATGAACTAGAAAGGCTTTCGTATTCCTTATGCCCTATCCCAACTTCTATATGTGTCAATTATCTATGGCTTAATTGAGTGCTGGGTGTTGTCAGGGGTGTTTGCTTGTCCATGAGACCTTCTTAGGGAAGCATTACTAGATTCCTGCCCCTCCTCCCTACAACGGTCTTCCCCATCTCCCACAGGAGGAATCTTTGAGTACGCAGATGGCCCCAACGCCCAGGTCATGAATGCTGAAGAGCATGCCTTTCGATTTTCTGCCAACATCATCAACAGGAACAGGACCCTGCTGCCCAACACAACCTTGACTTACGACATCCAGAGGATTCACTTCCATGACAGCTTTGAGGCAACCAAGAAGGGTGAGTGTGCAGCTGCTGCCTGTGTCTTCCTGGGGTGGAGCTGAATTTCCTGTCCAGTCCCAGAGCTCTGGGTGGGTTTGGGGTTGCAACCTTTTCCACTTGGTCTGGGGACCTGCCTCAGTCCCAGGTCAGCTCAGACTGTCAGTCCCCAGGACCAGGAGAACAGTGTCCATCAGGAGTTGCCAGACCATTGTCTGGCACTGGAGGGAACAGAAGCTACGAAGGGTGATTGGTGAGAGGATCAGAGGCCAAGAAAGGCAGGGAGGGGGTGGGGATCGGAGGCAGAGTCTGCCAGGTGGAGGCTGAGCTGGTCACCAGCACCTCTGAACTCAAGAGGACATTTTCAACCTTCTGTTTTTCCTTTTTTGAGGTTTAATATTATTTGTGATTGACAAGTAGTAGTTGTAGATATTTATGGGGTATGATGTGATGTTTTGTTATGTACCTGCATTGTGGAATGATCAAATCAGAATAATTAGCATATTTACTTTAAGTGTTTATCGTTTCTTTGTGGTGAGAACATGTAAAATCTCTTTTAGCTATTTTTAAACATACATTTTTATTAATTACAATCATCTTGTTCTGAAAGCTTGTTTTGTCTCTCACTGAAATCCCACCCAATATAATCAATATTTTACATATTAAGTAGATAACGTATAACTTCAAATGCACAACATCTATTTGCCATGAAAAGACTTGATAAAAACAAAAAAGCTGCTTCAGTGCCTACAGTTTGACCCTAGATGCTATGGATGATCCTTGAAGTCTGACGTTGGCCTCAATAATTGGTATATTTTTATTTTCTTTTGGCTGCAGGGTAACAAGAAAATCATAATTCATAAAGACAAATTGTAGTAAAGCCAATTAAACAGTGTTCCCACACCTGAATTTTTAAAAATGAAATGAAAACAAATGTTATGGTACATCCTTCTTAATTAGACATATTTAAAATACACCCAAGCTTCAGTGACTCCAGCTCCTCAAACACACACAGAAAAGATAACTTATTAATACCTGGATGAGCCAGAAGTTTCCATTGTGTTATATTACACTCTGAAGTATACGAGTGTGCTTCTTTGCTACTTTTTAAAAGAATAGCCCACCCATGGGATCCATATCTGTAGATTCAGTCAACTACAGAACAAAAAACAATTCAGTAAAAATAATTACATTGGTAGTGCACATGCGGTTTCTCCTCATGATTTTTCCCTAAACAACATAGCATAATACCTATTTACATGATTTTATATTGGGTATTCTAAGTATAGTAATTCAAAAATGGCTTACAGTCTATGAGAGGATGTGCGGAAGATATATGCAAGTACTCTATCATCTTATGTGAAGGACTTGAGCATCTGCAGATTTTGGTATCCAAAGAGGGTCCTAGAACCAATCCCTGCAGATACCAAAGGAGACAGCATATCTGAACTGTATTCTTTCATATACATTTGATTCAAATTTAACTTTAAGGGTTAGATAACTCTGGAAATAACTTTCCCAGAACCTTAAATTGCCATGGAACACTGTTTAAGTGTCTCAAATCTCATTCCCCAAATAAATAGGTTATCTTTCCTATAATGTGATATCCTAGCCCCTTGCTTTTCCCCTTCAAACCTTAATCACAGTTTTTAGTTAAATAATTGTGTGTTTAATGTACTTCTCACTCTGCCCAATAACACCAAAGAGAAGGCTCTCTCTTGGTAATTGATATATTCCCCTGGCATCTGGGAAACAGGTAATTGCTCAATGAAATGATTACTGAATGAGGCAATGAATGGATAGTGTGAGTTTAGGGTGTGTTACCTGAGCATCATTGGCTAGTGCCACTGTTGGCTGAGCCAAGGAAAGTGTCATCCATGTATTCTGGGCAGACTGAGACCCAACCACAGGAGACTTATATCTTTCTAATGGGTTCCCAGTTTATGATCAAAAACAACTTTCTCTCAGGCCGGAATCCTTGATCTCTTAGACCCCCAGGTGCAGACCTGTCAAGGTGCTACCTGCAGATTTTCTGTTTTCCAAAGCCCCATCACAGGTAAGCATCTCAGTCAAGAAAAGCAACACAGCACAGCCTGGGAGGTATCTGTGACCTTTGGCAAAATATCCCATGCCTTAGTTTTCTGTTTCCTTGTCTCTTAAATGGGCTCAGCTCTGTAAAATGTATAGGAAAGTGCCTAGTACCATAGTCAGTATCATATAGGACTTTGCTCTTGTTACACTAGGCTCCCTTCCTCACCACATGCCAAACCAAGTCAAGACCTGTCACTACTGGCCTGCTCCTCCTTGCCTTAGGCAGAGAGGATCAGAGGGTTTCTAGTGTTCAGAACAATGACTGTCAACACTTTTGGATCACAGAGTCAGCCTACAGATGGGCAAGAAACACCCACCCTGAATTAGCTGGAGAGTTCCTTTACCCATCAGTCTTCTCTTGCTCCATTGAGCTCCTTCCCTGCCTGTGTTCTCCTGCTGTCTTCCCAGCATGCCTCAGGGCAAGCACTGCACAGTGAAGTATCCACATTCCTGCTGTGTGTCCAGCATCGTCCACCTGAAAAATGACTAAACCAAAACTGGTCAGTAAAAAGATCAGGACACAGAACAAATGCCTGGAACCAGAATACAGAGGTCCATGTGGGTACAACAAGATGAAGGGTCTTGGTACAAGTTTTCTAAAAAACAAACAAACAAAAACCCTAAAATAATAATTATGACTCCTTAGTAGTGGTAACCCAAATCACTATCTATATAAAAATAAAGAGCAAAATAGAAGATAAATAAATAAGAAGTAGAGAGAAGTTTGATACCTCCCTACATTACCAATTCCATTGTTTGAATGCACAGTATTTGCTAAGTTATTTCATGTACACTATTAGTTTCTCTTAGCCATGGAACAAAAAGTTTTGTGCTTCTCTCTGTTCATTTCTTCTTTGTATAAGCATAAATACTTTCAATATAACAATACACAGAGTATTCACTACTGTTACTCTCTTATTAGTTTGTTATGAAATTTTGGGTTTTTTAATAAAATCAAAAAAATGGAAAAGAAAGAAAGAGAAAGGAAGAAAGAAAGGAAGAGTGAAAAACATCATAAATTACTTGGAAAAGCCAATTCAACTACTTGGGAAATTTGATGCATGTGCTTGCTGAGTCTCACTGCGTGCCAGGCGTTGAGGACCCTAAGAGGACAAGGCAGAGGTGGCCCCCTCCTTATACCATGGAACTTGTATCCCATGTGGCTGACACAGCAGGTGCAGGACTGAGGGGCAGCAGATAGTGGAGGAAAGCAGGCTGGAGCCTCAGCTTGGTGAGGGAGCATTTGTTCATGAGGAAAAAAACCTCATCCAGGCGGGCTCAAAGCAAAAACATAACTACCACCCAAATCAAGCTGTAGACCACGTAGTCCCTTCAGAAACCCCTCTGGCGGCCCTCTACATGGTCACCTCTGGAAGGCCACCTTTGTCCCACTTCTGGTGACATGCTCTAGTTTGGCCTAATCTTGAACTTCATGTAGAGTGGAATTACCCAGGGTCTCCTTTTCTGAGCCTGGCTCCTTAGGCTCTGTAGTGCCCTCATGAGAGTCCTCTGTGCTGCTGAATAGAGCAGGAGTGCATTGTTCTCCACTGATGGACACTGGCCCGTTATACGAATGCGTCTCTGCTTTTCAAAACCCATTCTATTTTGTTACACCTTTAAGCTGTTCCAATTTATGGCTAGTGCTGCTATGAACACTGAGAGATACACAAATAGACTCACTTTTGTTGGGTATACTGAGGAGTGGAAGTACCCAGCCAGTTTTTCAAAGTCAGTTGTACCAATTTGCACTTTCACCAGAAGAGTACAACACTTTAACTGCTCTCCATCTTCACTAACCCTTGGCAAAATCAGTTTTATTTTTACATTCTTGCTGTTCTGGTATTTTATGTAGTGGTTATCTCATTGTGGTTTCAATTGGTATTTCCCTGATGATTAAAGATTGAATATATTTTCTTATGCTACTAGGTCATTTGACTATTTTCTCTTTTTTGTAGAGCGATATGGAATTATATTCATTCCCTTACAGTCTTACAATATCTTCTGAGGAGCAAAGTTCTTAATTTAAAGAAGTCCAATTAATATTTCCTAGTATAATGTTTTCTGTTCTTCTTGAGAAGTCTCTGTCTCTCCTGAGGCCATAAACATATTCTGCTCTGTTCTTGTCTAGAAGCACTGTTATTTTATTTTTCATACTTGGTTCTATGATCTAACTCAAACTGATTTTTTCAGCCCCTACCTGAAACCTATTTTTTCTACATAATCTACCTGAAATCTATTTTTTCTATATAATGCTGGTGAAAGTGAAAATTTCAACTTCTCCGAAGAATTGTTTGGCAGTACCTACTAAATCTTTGCCCTATAAGAATGTTCCTAGCTGTTTTAATGGTGACAACCAATAACTGGGAATAAATTAAGAACTTCATCCTAGGAGAACAATAGAATTCTAACCTGCAATAAAAAGAAAAAAAAGACAAATTCCTGCTATACACAATATAGATGAACCTCAAACATAACATTGAGTGAAAAATGGGGAAGGGCGTCGTGGTCAGTGGGCAGTGAGCAGTGGGCAGTGACAGGAAAGGAATAAGAAAGAGCCTTTTTGTGTTAGAAGCCTGTGATAGCTTGATCCAGGACCCATGAATGCATGACAGCTGAGGGCAGTTATATGTAAAATTCACCAATTATGTGCTTAAAACTAATTCATCTCACTTTGCGGTAAATTTAATAGAAGTGGTAGATAACACCCCATGAGAGTAACTCTGTCTGACCCAAGAGGCATTTCTGCTATTGGGTCATACTCCCCATTGGCCACCCTCTGTCTCACAGGGAGGCTTGTGACCCCATGATCTTTAGTTTTTCTTTTGATGCTTGATATTTTTAGCTGCATTCCTCTGGAGTACAGTTAAAACTCTTCCAAGGGGATACACTTGGGCCTAATTCTGATTAATCCAGTGATAATCCATTTTCCCTAGATGGAAGTTTCCATTCCCACCACCACCACCACCCTCTACTGGATCCAGCCCCCATAGGCCATGTGGGATGAGAGGACATGGAGGTAGAACCTGGCACCGCCTGCCCCACCAGCCGGGATTGAATTAGTCCTTCTCCCTGCACAAGACCCAGGAGCCTTTCCTTATTAAAAGGAACTCTCACTTATTGTCTTTATTTTGAAATGTTTTGTGGAAAATTAAAAGATGAGTGACTGCCAGGCAGTGTCTGAGCCAACAACCCAGAAAATGTCTGTGGTTTCTTCTAAGTCTGACCAGAGCAGGCCTGGAATCGACCCAGCACTCCCCAGGCTCCTCTGCCTTCACTTATTCTCTGGGCTGCTCAATTCCTTTTAAGACACAAATTGATTGGGATAATTTTTGCTATAACTACAATTGCCATGGAAAGGAGGAGGGGGGATACATTCAGGCTGGGGACTCCTGCAATGACTGTGAACCATGAGTTACTGTAAAATGACCAGAAAATGGATTCAAAATTGAAGCCACAAATAATGTAATTACTGCAGTGTGTGCTCAGGGCTGCCAGAACAAGGGCTGACTGCTGCCCTGGAAACATCTAGAGAGAAAGCTGCTGCTGCTGCTGCTACATTCCCTGCCCTGGTCCTTGAGGATAGCATTGATCTTCCAGGCTGGAAGATCCTCAGAGAACTGAAGGAAATTGGGAGGATGGGGAAAGGAGAGAGGCCAACAGGAGGAAATGGATGGAAGACAGGGCTGATGTCTCCTGCCACCCAGCAGTGAGGTCTGATCACCATGTCTCTGGAAAAATGAAACCCAGTATGGGTGCTGTCAATGTAAGATCACCACCATTGTCACACTTGTTGACGCCAATTCGTCAGCATCTACCACCATCCTGCTGCTACTGTCATCCCCATCCACAGTGGTATCACCTGTACTCAATAATGTCAGCAATACTGTCACTACCCCTGCCATTGCCATCTCTGTCACTGTTATGACAGCAACATCTGTGTCACCGTCAATCCCACCAATGCCAAAATCATCACCTTTCTTACTTCATTGTCTCTGTTACTGTGGCATCAGTGTCAGTAATGTGATGGCATCAACACCATCATCATCATTACCATCAGATTGCTATGCCATGACTCCATTCAGATCAATGCCAACATCATCACTCTTAGTATCCTCATCCCCAATGTTGCCATGACAACAATATCTTCATCCTCTTCCCCGGTCTCATCAACATCACTACCACCATCCCACTGATACTGTCATCAACACCACGACCATTGTTACCTCCTCTCCCTTCAATTCTTATATCCCTGTTGTCATTACTATGGCTGTCATCACCATTACTGTGGTGATATTGACATCTTTATCATCGATCTGAACATCAACATCAACACTACCATCCACCATTGCTGCTGCAACAGACCCATCAATGTCACCCTCATCAATGCCATCACCATTACGGTCTACACTCTTGTGATGTGGCCTTTGCTACTACAGTTGCTTTTAAAGATACTGTTACCATTATCCTAATAGTCAATATCCAAGCAGAACCACTATCTTCAAGGGCATTCTTAGGACCCTTTTTCTTCTCTCCCCTGCCTCAATCAGATAGAATTCCCAGACCTTGGTAGCAGGCAAGACCTGGGAGATTGGGTTGTGTGAGGTTACAGGAGGTGAGGTAGCATCATTTAGCCTGCTTCAAGGCACACATCAAAGTGAGAAATCCAGCAGGCAGATTCTTAGAAGCAGTGGTGGGAAGGAAGGAGATATTCAATATTTCAACCAAGCCTTCAATCTGAACATCCTCAGGGTGAAAGAGGATAGAGACAAGAAGTTCTGGGACAGAAAGCAGGGATATCAGGGGACAGGTAGAATGTTCAAAAGTGAAGTAGAAAGTAAAATATGAGAATACTATGGACTTTATAAGATCCCCACAGCCTCAGGCTTGGACAAGGCAGGGTGGTCAGGCCTGGAGTCCTATTGCTTATGCTCTGTGACCATCTGTTTCATGTTGGTATCCAGTTTCAATAGCTCTGTGGCCTTGGAGCACAGTGTCCTTGGGGAGAGTGTGTTGAAAAGAACAACTGTCCCTAAGTTTGACAATTGGCTAACAAAATCAGGATTCCTATTTTTGAAGCATTTATTATCACTGAGGTTCATCTCACACATAGTCACGTGAAAGACTACCCAAGGGTTGAATTTAAGGCGACAAAACTGCTTTACTGACCTGGTCTCCAATCCCCACACTGTAGGAGTACAAGGAAGATACCACATCCTCCACTTTGAATCCTCCTCTGCCTTGGTGTTGGCCACAAGGAGTCCCAGTCTCCCGGGAGGTGTTCTCTGTGCTGACTATGCTACCCACTATGCTCTAGGTGGTTCTGGTGGCTCCTAGCCATGCCTAGCCAACTCCTGCACTGCTGCATTTTCACCCACATTGTAAGCAGCATTCTCTGATACTCGTGGAGGAAATAGAAATTTTAGGAAAAATAATGACTTTACCTAATATTTCCCACTTCCAAGATGTAGTGAGATTAGTAGGGAATGTTAGCTAAGAGGAAAAATACTCAAAAGATCACCTAGTATCACGGAGTCAAGTCTACACTACTGTGTATGTCTGGATCAGCTGGTACCACCTTGTGCATTGGAGGTGCTCTCCTTCCTCTGGTCAGCCTCTCTTCCCAGGACAGGTTTCCTTGGGACCAGGCCCTAAAGAGCCTGCTGGATTTTCTCTCAGTAACTAGAACCTTGAATTCCCTGCCCAAGTGGTCTGAGCCACTCCCAGAGCCTGAATATCCCTCTCCCGGGGTCTGTCCTTTGAAAGGAGAGCCATGCTTCCATGCCTTGGGGGCAACCCAGGGGCAGCTGTGTGCAGAGGTGTCCACTGGGCTTGGATAGAAGAGCTGGGATGCCCACATGAGAGGTGTAAAGTTCTCTTGGTTCAAGATGGAGCCATTGGGACAAGCTGGGAGCTGGGTGCCACCTCTCTCCACATCACCATCATGGTGTGTGAGATGTCTCCATTCTCACCTGACTTTCCAGGGCATTGCAAAGGTACACTTAGCAAGACAGGCAGAAAACATGTGTTTTGTTTAACAGTTTGTTAGCTCAATTCCCATTTAAACATTTAACCTCATGGCATATGGATCTTCTTTTGTTCTTGGACCCTGGACCCTACAAATCTGAGAGGCTGGTCTGTGCCTAGGAGGTCACTCCCAGAAGCCCTTGAGGCAGCCAGGATGTGATGGAACCACAGCATGTTCACCCAAGTGCCTCGTCTGATGTCTTCCCATGAGTATCCTAGGTCTATGCAGGGTGGGAGGAGAGGGAATCATGTTGCTAAATGAGGGAAAAGCATTCCAGCCAGGGGGACAGTAAGTACAAGGGCCTTAAGGCAGGAGCATGCGTTCAGGAAACACCACGTATGTCAGTGGGGATTGAGTGTTCTGAGGGAGGGATAGAAAGTTGGGAGACACAAACTGAGCTGTCATTGTTTGATTGTTTGATCCTTTTTATGCCTACATCTTGTAACCTGAACAACTATTTTTTAAGATAACAATATGCAATATATTAACTAGTATTAATTTCCTATTTTTTTTAAACTTCTGTATCATTTATACCCTTTTTTATGCTCTTTTAAATAAAAAAAGAAATTCAGAAAGTAGGGAGACAAAGTAAAAAAGATGATGGGATGTGCAGAAGTGGGGAGGAGCTGCAACAAGTTGGGCCTCTTTGGCCACTATAAGGGCCCTGGCTTTTGCACTGAGTAAAATGGAACCACTTGAAGCAAAGCTTGATATCCTGAGAGTCCTTGTTGGATCTGGAGGGCAGAACAGACACTAGGGAGAATGATTGAGCTGTGATAATCCAAGTGCAAGACTATGGTGATCGGACCAAGGAAGAAAATAGGAGTGGGAGCGGGAGAAGTGGTCAGTGTGACAGTTTTTGAAGGAGCAGCAGCAGGATGTGGGCCAGGATGTGGTATGCAAGAGAACCAAAGAAGTCAAGATAAAGCCAAGGCTTTGCGCAAGAGGGTCAAAGAGAATACAGGTGCCCTTGATAGAGATGAGGGAGGCTGAGAAGAGGAGGTTACTTTTGCAAGTGTTGATCTGGGATGCAGCTTAGATATCTCAGCAAGGATGTTGAGAGACAGGGGAGCTAGCCAAGGCAGAGCTGGAGGCTGAAGCTTCAAAGTTGTCACCCAGTAGGTGCCTGTGTTTCCAAGCTCCTAGGGGACAGACCTAGCATGGAGCTGGTCATGATAGCTATGACATCACAGATGACCAGTATACCTGTGTCTGGAGTGCTTCCTAAGGGCCAGGCACCATGCTCCCATCTATCACATATCATCTCTTACCTTCCTGCAGTCAAAAAAAAGTATCCCATTTTTCAGATGACAAAACTGAAATTCAGAGAGATGGCAAGTCATCCATCCTCAGAGGGTTCCAGATGCTATTTTTTCCCAGATCACCATAATCACTTGCCCCCTTATTCCCACAACCCCTAGTGCTGACCCCTGTGCTGCTCTCCCTCACTGCTGCAGCCTGTGACCAGCTGGCGCTGGGCGTAGTGGCAATCTTTGGACCATCGCAGGGCTCCTGCACCAATGCTGTCCAGTCCATCTGCAATGCCCTGGAGGTGCCTCACATCCAGCTGCGTTGGAAGCACCACCCATTGGACAACAAGGACACCTTCTACGTGAACCTCTACCCGGACTATGCCTCACTCAGCCACGCCATTCTTGACCTGGTGCAGCACCTCAAGTGGAGGTCGGCCACTGTGGTCTATGATGACAGTACAGGTGAGTGGTTATTCTGGGCTGGGCTGGAAGGGTGAGGAAACAGAGCTGCAGTTTTAGTGTCTCATCTGCTTGTCTAATACAGCTGCCCCTGGGGAAAAAGCAGTGGCCTGCAGGCACAGCCCATCTTTGCCCCTGTAGTCCCCTCCCTGTGCACATAGGACACGTTCACGTCTTGCTCAGTCCCGGGCCATCTACATCTACCTCACTCCTTCCCCTGCATGCTATCTCCAGCCCCCCTTCCCCAGCATGAGTGTTCAGATATGCACTCAGCACCCAGCCCACGTGTCATGCACACTTGCACAGCCTCCACGCCTTCCTGTACTCTCCCACCTGTGCAATCCCTTCTGCAGTCAATATATCCCCTGGGGTATGGCCACTGGTCTCAATCCCAGCTATCTTACCTGCTACCTATGTTCCCACTCATGTGCCTCAGTTGCTTACACAATGTAAGGGCATAATGTTGATGAGTGCCTGGCACTACTCACTGAAGTACATGCTGACCATCTTTGCACCTGTACATAGTAACACACATGTCTCTACCTACGCTCAGATACACCAGCTCTAGTCATATACAGACACACCAATCTACCATGTGACCCAGCCAAGACCAGGCCTACAGAAGAGGATTTGTCTCATCCCCTTGCCCAGTTGGAGATAATGACAGCATTCCTCTGAGTAGTCCTGCTTAACCTTTCTGATCTAGCCTGGGACACATCTTCCAAACTCTAGGACAATGTTTCCCTCTGCCTCTAGTCTTCAAGCCCCTTAGTACGGGCCCAGAAGAGATAGCCACTAACAAATCCAGCAAATGCATTCTCAGCCTTTCTTTTTGGCCTCATCCATGGCTGAGGGCTGTGGATACCTGGATGACTAAAAATCCCTTACCTTCTCTGTGTCTCCCCTGCCTTGACTGAGTACCACACTGCCATCTCTGGGAAATTGTGTACAGAGGATTAAGGGGCTGCACAAAGTCATAGAAAGAGCCTGGGGTGTAGGGGAGAAGGGAGAGTAAAGCCCTTTGCCAGGCCCTGCCCTCATCCACAGTCAGCCTTAGGACAGGCCTCCAGTTACAGAAGCATACTCCTGGCTTAGTGCACAAAAAACCACCACCACTTGTCTGCAGTGAGCCGAGTGGTGTGGAGGTGTCTTCAGTTAATTTCAGTGGTCCTTGGAGTGATCCATTAGAAATGAAGAAATGAGATTCAACAAGGTTGGGATGCAGCTGGGATGCAGCTGGGATGCAGCCAGAGCCAGTGTGCAACTGCAGGCCCGGTCAAGTCCAAGGCCAGTGCTCATAGCCAGCACAGAGCTGGTTGTTCTCCCGCACCTCTTTCTTTCCAGACTCAATCCCAATGCGTTTCTTAACCTGGCTTCTTAAGAAAGAGTGACCTTGGCAAGTCACTTAACCCATCTGGCCTCACTCTTCCCACTTGTCAAGAGCCGCAGCATCCAGTCTCAGAAGAGCCCTCCAGCTCTCAGGCGCCTGTGATTCATGTCAGCTCTTGATTACCTCCTAATGGGCAGTGGGAATAGCAGGGCGAGAAGCTCTCAGAAGAGACAGTCAGAAAGTTGTTTATTTATCAGAATTCTGCAAACATCCATTGAGTTCCTACTGTACCCAAAGCACCAGACAGGAGATTCTTGAATGCCAGACTGCTTGATGCCAGACTGCTGCCTAGCATTCCCAGCAGAAGGGCTCTGCCTGCGCTCAGTCACCCTCAGTATCTCTGCAGCCTTCTGTCTTGATGCACCAGTATGAATGGTGTCTATCTATGAGCCCATCTCTGCCCCCCAGATTACATATTCTTTATTCCTTCAAGGTTCTGCATGGGATCTGGTGCAATGTCAGTGTTTTCAAATGTTAGTTGAAGAGAATTAAATTGGATTGGATTGGATTGGATTGGATTGGATTGGATTGGATTGGATTGGATTGGATTGGATTGAACAGAATTGAAAATCAAGTTGAATTAAACTATAATTAAATATTCCAAAATAAGATGTGAGGATGAAGAAGGAAAGACATTAACCCATTTTTTGAGTAGTTAATCATAGCACAGAAGAGTGGGTACCTGTCTGGAGGTCACTGGTGATTTCAGGCCCTCAGAACTAAGCATCTAGTACTGTGACACATGCATACAGTCAGAGCTGGAGGCCCTGGGAGAAGCACCCTGTGGCCTTGGTTACTCTGTGCTGGTCCATCCTTGAATACTTGGGGTCAGACATTCAAATGGACGGACAGAGTGAGCAGTGGTGAGGGCGGGACTAGTAAAGGGAGTGGTGTGAGCATAAGTGAGCCTGCCTGGCAGTCCTAGTGAGATGAGACCCAGGCTGAAGGAGAGGGCTCAAGTATGGAGAATAGGAGGGGAAAAATCAGATAAGCAGGTTGGAAGAAGAGCCTGGAGGAAGTAGGCTGAAGCAGAGGTGGCTATCTTAGGCCCACAGAAAGAAAAGAGGCCTGCCTTTGAGGGGTCACTTGGGATAACACGTAGGGGCAGAATAGAGGATAAGAAATACATGTAAGCAGGATATTGGAAAGTTGTAACTGGAATGTCCTGGATGCAAAGTGAGCGGAATAGACACTGGCACAGACCACTGCCCAGTGGGCCTTCGGGTGGGTAGGAAGAGGGAGGCTTTGCAGAGTAGAAGCCATGGCAAGATGATGGGCACCATGCTAGTGGAAGTGATCGCAGTTATGTCTGGAGCTTCCTGTCCCCAAGGCTTCCAGCTCTGACTGCACGTACACCATTCGAGCTTCACATCTGATGGCACAGAATTACTATTAACTAGTCAGAAAAGAAGAGAAAAAGGGGAAGGAGAAGGAGAAGAGGAGGAGAAACAGGAACAGGGACAGGAGGAGGAAGAGGAAAGAAGGAATGAGAGCATCATTTTTTCACCTTAAAGATGCACAACACACTCTTCTCCACAATATTAATTAGTATAATCCAATTTTTATTTCTAACCAATTTAAAACACAGTCTACAACATTTTAAAACATAGAAGAGTTCATAAGAGAAGGCATTTAGACAAGCAGAAAAATGGTCCTAGGGATCAAGTTCTGGATTCAAGCAATAATACAACTTCAGAAGTGAGTAGCAATGGTAAGAAACATTGCAGAGTCAGGCTATTGTGAGAGGCAGGACAGCTTGTCGTCCATCCCACCCAGGGATGGGAATGGGAAGTACCTTGGAACAGGCTCTGACTGTGTCTAATTTAGGGACTGTGTCCACTTTAGGGACTGTGTCCTTTGGGATGTTTCAGCTATGAGTAACAGACAAAGCAACTCAAACTGACCCAAGAATTAGCTGCTTAGTTATATCACTGACAACTAAGAATGAGCCTTTTTGGGGCTGGTTTAGCAGCCTGACAAAATCAAAGAGCTAAGTCAGTCTTGCCACGGGCCTCTTGGCTTTCCCTCATAGTCACAGTAAAGTTGCTGCATCTCCAAGCATCCCTTCTTCACAAGAGGACACCCAAGCAGAGAGGAAGGAGGGAAGGAAGTAAGATAGGGAGGAGGGGAGAAAAGGAGGAGGAAAAGGAGGAGGAACCAAAGGGCTTTGTCTTAATGTGACTCATGTCTTTTATCCAGGAAGAAAATCTGTCTCAGGATCTTCTAGAAGAGAGTCCTGGGTAGCTCTCTGGATCTTGCCTACTACTCCAAACACTGTCAAAGAAATGGGATTGGCTTTGGTTGGCTCTTCCTAATCATGAGTCACTTCTTAAGATTGATATGTTAGGGGCTGGGGATTTAGCTCAGTGGCATAAGTGCCTGCCTTGCAAGCAGGCAGTTGTGAGTTTGATCCCCGGTACCGATAAAAAGAAACAAAAGCCTGTTTCTTTTAGCAATCCAGAAGAGGGTGCATCTGTTAGCTCTTTTTACAGTAAGTTATATATTAAACTACCCCCAAAATTCAGTGGTTTAAACTAATAAGCATTTCCTTGACTTTCAAATCCACAGGGTCAGCCATTTACCTAGTGAGGCCAGGAGTTTTCTCTGGTACTAGCTGAGTTGTTTGCCTGCATGTTGGTTGGTCTAAACTGGCGTTGGCTGGGAGGACAGAGTCCAGGCTCTCTTCCATGTCTGTTCTCCAGCAGGCTCATGCAGGAAGGACAGTGAGAGAGAAGTGACACAGTGTATATGGTTCCATGTCAGGGGTCTGCCTTCATCATGCCTGCTAATATGCCATTAGTCACAAAAAGCCACAGGCTGGAGGGCACCACAAGGTTACACAGCAAAGGCCTTGGATGTCAGGAGGGGCACAGAATTGGGGCCATCATTACAATCAGTGGCTTTGGAGGGGACAACCACTGTTTACCCTTTGATCTACGCTGCCTCTCTGCCTTCCTGTGCACAAAGTCAATTTGTTTTCTTTTTTGCCATGCTGGGAATTGGACCCAGGGTCTCTCACATGCTAGGCAAGTACTCTACCACTGAGCTACACACTCAGCCCTTTTTATTAAATTTTGAGACAAGGTCTGCCCAAGTTGTATAGACTTGGACTTGAACTTGTGATTCTCCTGCCCCAGCTTCCAATAATAGGCATCTGCCATTGAGTCCAGCTGAAGGAAAGAATCTTCTCAAGATTGAAAGGAAATGTTTAGAAAAATTTGGGATGGAGAAAAGGGTCCCAGCCCAGGAACCAAAAGACTAGATCTCAAATTTTGATCCTCTTCCTAGCACACTGCAGAACTTTGAGAAAGTCCCTTAATTTCTGCAGCCCTCAGTTTCTTTATCCTCAGCATTGGAATGAAAATCACTCTTCCACATGCCTTCTAGGATTGGGAGATGGTTAAATAGGGTAATGAATGCAGAAGTGCTTCGTAAGTGAAAAGCATGATTCCCACAACCATGATTCACTGCAGATATTTTGAGAGGGATTGATTAGGGAAGCAGCCAGGAAGGAAAGCACATCTCAGGCAAGCAAAGACAGCCTCATCCTTTCTAGGGCTGGGCGAGAGGAGCTCTGGTCTCCTTTGGGAATACACTGATGGAAAAAGGCCTGACATTTGCTGCTAGAGAATATGGGTCACCATGCATTACACGGGACGATGTGCTTGGCTGACAAGTGGCCCCAGTGGCCTCTGCTTTGGCATCTGTCGTGTCCCTGTCCTCATGTTCCCAGTCCCCAAAGCCCACATGCCTACTGATGCTAGGCATGATGTGAAAACCAAGAGTGATCTGTGCACCCTCGGCCCCTCGGGTAACAGGTGTGAAAGGTAAGCATCATCCAGCCAAGCCAACAGAGAATTTCTGAATATATTGGGAGGAGGATGGACAGGGATGCATGTGTGACTGGCTTGGCTTGTGGTCCCCTTCTTTGCTGTAGCAAACTGACATCATCCACCTCCTCCCATCAAGTCCAATATTAAGAGGTATGGGGGAGCCTGTTTGATCTAGACCTCTCTAGGACTCCAGATTCTTCTCCCAGCCATTGAATCTTGGTCTAGGATTTTGGATAGGAGGACTGCAAGCCCCAGCTCTCCTCTATCTCTGTTCAGCAGGCTCATGCAACCATGCTCTCAGGACTATAGCACAGGAGTGAGACAGAGGTCTTGGCAAAGATTGTGCTGGAACTCTCTGAGAGCCATTGTTCTCCCCCGCACAGTGAAATGTTGGGCCACAATCAGATGGCTTTCCTGATGTCCAGCCCTTAAGAATAGGAAGGACAGCTGAACCCACAGACTCAGACTTTGTGCCAGAGGTTGTTTGGGAGATCAAACTTCATTGGAAGCCTTCCAGAGTAGGCTAAGTAAGGGGGTTCTATCCAGATGTGACACACTGTAGCTGTTGATATAAACTTCCACTATAGACTAGCATGTTGGATAGTGGGTTGGCAGTCTTTACTGGAAAGTTCAGGGTTATTTTAGCTTCAGGTACTGGTTGATCAAAAGACTCAAATGAGTATCATCAGAACTTCCTTTCTCTGTGTTTGTTCTCTCTGGCTCTGCTCTGTTGGAGTCCTTGGAAGGTCTTACATAGTGACCTGCAAATTATATTCTCTCTTTTAAGGCTGAATGAAAAGGAGGTGTTTCTTACCAGTTGTTCTAACATGGATCTGGGAGTTGCTCTGATAGAGTGGACCACAGGCTATCAGACTGTGTGTCCATCTCTAAGGCAATCCCTTTTCCTAGAAGATGTGCTGATTGGCCAGGCTGGGGTCACATGTTTTGCCCCCAACACATAAACTGGGATAGGGTGAGCAGTTGTTCCCCAAAAGAAAATCAAAATGCTGTTAGTGAGGAGATGGGACTGTGGGCCAGGAGGCAGCCACTGAACCCAGGATATCGGGGCCTGGAGAAGACAGCCTGATGGCTCAGCCTCTCCTGCATGGCCCAGGCAAGCAATAAGCAAACTCCCTTCCAGACTGCAGAGAGGAGTCAGCAAGAACGTTGCTTGAAATAGGGAAGGAAATGAACTTAATTAGATCTAAGCAAGCCATTTGTCTCCAGGAAGTGACATTCAGTTTTCCCTGGAAGTCCCCAGATTAAGTAGTTTTACAAAATGCCATGGTGGAGGATAGATTTTTCAGAGTGGCGAGAGAAAAACAGCAAGTCAATCCAATTATGGAAATTTCTGTTGAGTACTACCTAAGGGCCAGGCCCTGCTCCAGGGATTATAGGGACCCATTTCTCGATTTCAAGGTCCTCATGGTTGGAAGACAGGATGCCAGAGGAGCCTGAAGGAAAAGGCTAGCAAGCTGGCCATGGTGGATGTCTGGGCAGGAAATGTTTTCTGAACAGACCAATGTAAGCAGGCTCCATGGAGGAGGTACAACATCAGACCTGGAAGAATGAATGCATAAGGTTTACCAAGGCAGCCTGCCCATGGGATGGGGGACACAAAAGTTGCCTGACCTGTGGTACTCCAGCAGATGGGATGTGTTAGTACTGTTGAGCCTGGAGCCACCTCTTGTGCCTGCACCCCAGAGCCAGGTTTGCTAGAGATGTTTGGGAAATGATGCCCCACCTTTCACAAAACTATCTCTATGTCCATTCTGGGTTAGAGCGATGCAAGTGGATGTGGTTGGCAGGAACTTGCTGTCTGTGCCTGCTTCAGAATCTCTATACACAAGGACATGTATCCATATGAGCATGGACCTCTCTCTACAGCTACACATGTGTCTCTATGCTCAGTGGTACATCCTTCCACATCTGCATACACATGTATTTACCCATGTGATTGTATATACACACATATACTCTCCAGTCTTGGTGCACATGTGGGCCTGTCCAGGTGTACACATCAGTGCCCAAGTGTACTCATGCTTATCACTGGACATTTGTCGCCATGTCCATGCACCCATACCTATCTCTGCGGCCACATTATCAGTGCCCCACATACTGCTGACCTGGTGTCTGCAGCTGTGCACACATGCATGCACATGTACATCTTTTGTGCCCCATGCCCCTCAGGGCTCATCCGGCTACAGGAGCTCATCATGGCTCCATCGAGATACAACATCCGTCTGAAGATCCGCCAGCTCCCCATCGATTCTGATGACTCGCGCCCCCTGCTCAAGGAGATGAAACGTGGCCGGGAGTTCCGCATTATCTTCGACTGCAGCCACACCATGGCAGCCCAGATCCTCAAGCAGGTATGTGAGTTCTAACCAGTGGAAGGGCAGCTAGGGTCTACTGGCCACTTCTCCAATCTTCTCCTTTCCTGGTTACAGCCATGGTGTGTGGCTCTTAGCACTGCCTCTCCCTGGCTGTGTGACTTTGGGTGTCACTTTGCCTCTTGGAGCCTTCCTTGGTTTCACCAGCAGCACAGCTAAACCATGGTCTTCACATTCATACTTGGCATGAGGACAGCTGGATAGCCAGCCCCACCCAGTCCTGGAACACTGACAATGCCCAGGAAATGCTACTTCCCTTTCTACCTATGTGCAGGTGGGAGGTGGGCAGCTAAAGGATCCCAACCCAGAAGCAGAACCCTCCAGGAAACTCAGAGGCCTCAGATTCTGAGCAGCAGTCCCACAGCGACTCACTGCCTCTCCCAGTGACTCATTTCTCACAGCCTGCAGCTCTCCTATTACGGGAGGTGTGCTGAGGTTCCTCGCACGACCACCTGCTCATCTCCACGGCAGCGGTGGGGAGGAGGAGAGTTCTTGGTCCTGTGCGGGCCTCCATTCCAAGCGCTTCTCGGTCTGGAGTTCTTGGGACTTGGCTCCAGAGCCAAGTGCTGCAGCCACCAAGAAAATCACAGCAAAATCTCCAGCAACAACCAACCATGCCGCACAGGAAACCAAAACCATTCTTCTCTGGGCCCATGTTTTGTGTAAAAGACATCTGTCATCCAAGAAAGCATCCCTGGTGACTGAAGGATGCATTCTGTGGGGGCTCTGACACATGACTCAGTGGAATGCAGGTAGTAAATTGGGTACACTAGTACAGGAGGAGAGGTGCTCAGTGGGACCAGGGGAGTTTCAAAACCTGGGGAGGCTGGAGTCCCGCCTCCAGCTGAGACCCTCAGGAGATGCCCCAACCAAATAGCAGCCTCCATCCTATACATGCAGGAAGCTCCTTCACAGCAACTAAAAGTCTAGTTCTCGAGGTGTGTCTGGCTTCTGCCCTGCCCGAGTCACGCCCTCCTCGGAGTTAGTGAACCTGGAACAGACAGCTTTGCAGGCTCCTGTGAGACAAGGAAAGCAGAGTTTACCCTGGTGCCCAGCACATGGTCTGCACTGGGCACAGAGGATCCCTTAAATCACTGTGTAGGAAATACGCTCCCCAGAAATCCCTCAACCTGAATTCTCCCAGCCACCTGTTCCTAGCATTCCCCCACTTCCCACCTCACATAATGGACTGAGAGTGACAGTCGCAATTTTGATTTACCAGAGAGTTACTCTGTCAGGTACCTGTCACTCCCTATTAACTCTGGGAAAGGGGGACAATTATCAGATCCAGTTGACAGTGTGGAGACTGAGTCTCAAGGGGAAAGTAGTAGGCCAAAGTTATTCAGTTAGAAAGGCAAAATTCACTCTCGAGTCCATGTGACTTGAAAAGTTCTAGAGTTAAAGGCAGGGATTCTGGGCCTAGTTCGGTACGGGACTGAGAGCAGTTCAAACTGCCTGCTGCTGCCAGGCTCCGGTGAAGCCTTCTGGGCTGATGGGGGTTGGGAGCTTCCAGGATGGGACAGAACTCATAACAGTTTCAAGGTATTCTGACCTGTGACATTATCCCCCAGAGCACTTGGGCCCAGAATTCCGAGGAGCTGTAGAAAAAACGCTGTAGTCGTTAGTATTGGAGGTGACAGTCCTCTAGTAAAATATGTATAATGTAGATTTTATGACAGTGTACAACAATAACCCCACAGTGGCTCTGTGGCCTGCTGTGTGGTCAGATGGGACGAGGGAAAAACAAAGGTCTCAGTGCTTCTGTCCTCCAGCTGAGGACAGCCTCTGCCCTTGGGCCTGGCTGCGGGGCTGGGCTCTCTCTGGAGGAAAGTACTCAAGTGGGCAGAGGAGAGCCCAGCACTTAAGGGGCAGCTCAAGCTTCTGTGTCAACACCTTTCTGAGTGTGGCAGGTCCAGAGATGCTCCTGAAAAAACATCTGAACCCTGTCTAGTCCTGTAGAATTGGGAACCTTTGGAGCATGTGGCCCCAAATCCTGCATCTTGATCTGTCCAGTGTCAAATCCCCCTCTCTGCCAGCCAGTCATTGTCACTATTGAGAGTTCTCAAAGAACAAGGAGCCAGCCTCACCAACCCACAACCCAGCCTATCCATCCCCGGGTCTTACCTGGGTTGAAGGGACAGGCTGCCCGTGTATCCCCCTGGTGACTGATGCTGTGTTTTCCTGCAGGCCATGGCCATGGGCATGATGACCGAGTACTACCACTTCATCTTCACCACTCTGGTAATGTACCTTGGGGTTTCGGCAAGAGGAGAGGTAGGAGTCCCTCAGATCAAGGGCACTGGGCCAACCCACTAGACACAGGTGCTGCAGCGAGCCGAGACCTGAGAACCTGAAGGTTGGAGGTGCTGTCTCCAGGAAAAGGCACAAAGGTGTCTCTGTGAGAAGCCTTATGATTAGGATTTAAAGATATGGACTCTGGAGCCATTGTGGACAGAGCTCCTCTGCTTACCGGTAGCAGGAGCTTGGGTTAATCACCTCAGTTTCTTCTTCTGCAAAATGGGTTTCTACCTCCTCTAGAGTTTTGAGGGCTGACCAGCGATGTAAAATGCTGAAAGCAGTGCCTGGTTCATGCAGAGCTGTGGATGTAGCAGCCTTTCCTACTCTTCTGACCCTTGGTCCTCAGCCTTGGCTTCCCGTGCCTGCCTCCCACCTTATATATCAACCAGATCAAAATTGCTGCTCTAGATTCCTACAACATCCTTGCGGAAGTTAGCCCCCTCACTGTCAGCAGGCCAGCCCACCTTCAGGCTCCAGATGTGTTCTGTCCAATCTCTGAGAACATTTAGGACCATTAAAACCCATTAGGATAATTAGCTGGGGCCTGAGATCGGCCGAATAAAGGCTTCCCTGTGCCAAGGAAGCACCAATACCAAGCCACCTAGCCGTACAGCCAGATGCCCCCAGACCTCTGGGGCCCTGGAGGGCTACTCCAGCCGTCCTGCTCCTGGGTCGGATGATGGGCCTGCAGACGGAACATTTCCTCTTACGGAAATGAGCCAGTGAGGTCAGGGTTAGCCTAGATCTTGCAGCCCCTGCAGCTTCTAAAGCTTCATTTTTTAACACCCAGTTAGTGTTTCTCCCCCAGCATCGGTGCTAAATGGAGTACTGTAACCTGGAATGACTAGGACCAAGGCCTCTCTCTTCACATCTCTGTGATTCCCATACAACAGCTTTCACGAGCCTGGCCAGATAGCTGCGGGACACAGCACAGGTTGATGCCAAGTGGTGAGGGACTGCTGAAAAGTAGAAAGTTTGAGACAGACTTTATAGAAAAGCAGATGCCTGAACGGGGCCTTGAAGGATCAGTAGGGAGTTTTCCAAAGAAAAAGAAAAAGCGCATATAGAGAGAACAGCATAAGCAAAGATCGAGAGGCGAGTTAGCTCTTCAGAGGTGTGCTGGGGCTTCCTCATTCTGGCTTGTGAAAGCTGACTGTGTTTGTCTCCTCCTTACTGCACGTGGTACAGGTAGCTGGAGAGTGGCCATGGCGAAAGCACTCAGCCACAGGAGTGAGAAATGGGCTTTGAACAGTGAACTGGCAATGAGAGCTTTGCACCAGACCCTGAGGCTGGGAGTCACACGGGGGTGGGAGGTCTGATACAAATGAGGGTTCCCTCTCCCACCCAAAGAGCTATCTGTGAACCATTTAGCAGAAACCACTTAGCATCATTGTCAACTCCTGTCACCCCCTACTCACTGTACCCCAGTTCTATGCAGAGATGAGGGCCACTTTGCACATTCTCCTGGTCCAGGGTCCAGAGCCAGGGGCTTGTCAGGAGTGGGGGAGAACCTAGAAGCTGAGGATTGAAACTCAGGCACCTCCTCCTCTCCAGAATACTCTTCTGAACCTGTGCCCGCCCACAATGGCTTGTCCCTGCCATGCTGTAACACAGCTTGAGATAAAACTGCCAGATACCCTCATATAATTCCAGGATGTGATTTTGGAGAACGTATTATCACCACAGAGATCCCATGCTTTCTACAGCAATGCCATTGCCAACTGGGGTCAAGGTTAGGGATCTTCAAGAATGGATCATAGCTTCCCAGAGCCGTCGCATATCTCCAGGCAGGGTCCCATGTCCCTTACTTTCATTTCGTTAATTCAATAATTCACTTATTCATTTATCCAACAGCCATACACAAATGCTATCTGAGGCCCCAGACTCAGAACTAGGCAACAGACTGGAGAGAGTTATACAAAGCTCATGGGGATTAGGCTTCCTGAATGTAAGCAAGGACCCAGGAGTCTTCCTGGTTCACCTCCTATCTCCAGAGTCTCAAGTGCACCTGGCACACAGCAGGTGGTCATTGATGCCTGAACAATGGATTGGCAGATGGATGAATGGATGAATAGATAGAGAGATGGGTGAAAGCCATACAAAGTGGAATGTAATCACTAAAGTTGCCCTCACATTATCAAAGCAGCAGTCATCAGTTAAGACCACAGATTCTGCTGCCAGACTGCCTGATTCGGATTGAGACTCTTTCACTTCCTTGGGCAAGGTACCCTCTCTATGCCTCATTTCCCCATGTACAAATTGGTGACAGTAACAGTATTGCTTTATAGAACTGTTTGAGTATTTAATGCATCGAAACTGATAAGGTACTTAGAACAATGCTTGATACTTAGTACTATGTAAGTGTTAAATAAACTGATTGGATAACTACTACTTATTTTCTGTATGCTCAGCACACCCCATACCATTGAAAATTCAAAATGACGCTGAGTGAGCTATAACTCTCCCAGTTTTATAGAAAAGTGAAAACGGAGGCTCAGAGAAGCAACTCAGCAAGAAAGGAGCAGGGTGTGGACTTTTCCCAGCTGGGAGCTGAGCAGCTTCAAAACCCTCTGTCAAAACTCATCAGGCTGAAAGTTTGCATAAAGTGTACCCTGGCTGGCAGACCCCACACGATGCCTAGCCTGGCCAACCTGGTCCAGACATGGTGACTGACACTAAGAAAGGCAGACAGGGCATAGAGCCTCTGCAATCCCAGCACAGCCCATATACCACTGGTATCCAAGCCCTCCTGCACGCAGTGATTCTCCTTCTCACCCCATTCAGGTTGCAGGTCAGCATCTGCACACCCTATTAACTGAGAGCGAAGCTCGGCATCAAGGAGACTATGTGACTTGCCCCAATCTCCCAGCAGAGCAGTGGCCTGGCCTAACTCCCAACTTTGGGTCTACATTTGGCCCTCCCTCCCCACAGTTCTCTGGGGGTCAAGACAGTGGACCATCCTAGGGTGCAGTGGACTGTGTGTGTGTGTGTGTGTGTGTGTGTGTGTGTGTGTGCATGTGTGCACATGTGTGTAGTGTCTCCCACAGTATTCCCAGCAGCTCCCACATTTGGGGGTATTAGCTGTGTCCCCTGGGCCCTCTCCTTGACACTTGTCCTGTTCCCAGCCTCAGAGTCCTCCCTCCAGCTCTGCTAGTTTAAGACTCTTCCTTGTGGCTGTCCTTCTCGGTGCCCATTGGTCAACTATGGCTGTCTTTGGAGGGCAGTGACATTTGGCATTTATCTCCTTCCCCTTAGGAAACCCACGTCATCGACTCCTCGCCTCTGAGAAATTTTCCCAACTTGCTTCTCCCACGCAGAAGACATTTTAATTACCCCAGCTGCCATTATCTGTTCCAGCCAGCTTTGAGCCATTCCCAGATAACCCCGCGTTAATCAGCCCCAGCTGAGCCCCTGGTACATGTCATGTGTAGGTAAAAGCCTGGAGGTGAAAAAAGAATTATAATAAATTAATAGATAAGCAATCACAATTAATGCCACTTCTCAGCAATAACAGTTATATCATGGGAAAGATATTTTCATCTGTCATTCCTTAAGGCGATGTTTTCCGAGCTTCAGTTTCTACCCATTCAGACCCATGGGGTGCTAATGAATTAGTCTATTATGTTATGCTGAATGTTTCTAAAAGGTCCCTCGTCAATACTGAATTCAGTGTGTCAACATTTGGCACCGGAAATGCAACTTTTTGCCAAGCAGCAAAGATGCCCACAGTTCACAGTGTACAGCACTTGGGGTCTTGGCCCAGGGCAGGTTAGACAAAAAAAAGTTGGAGCTGAACATAGAGGCCTCTTTACCAACACTTTATTGCCACTGCCCTCATGTCACATGGACGGAGGCTGTCTCTGCCTCAAGTCCCGCAACACTTCACAGCTAAGTCCAGGCTGGAAGGAAGATACACTGAGTCACAGAGGCCCTGGGCAGGCTACTGTCTGGGCATCTGTCAAACCTTAGCTGTGACGTCAACTCTGATCAGAGAAGAGTCTGGGCTCCCATTTGGAGAAGAGTAAAGTGGACTCCCCTAGGGGCAGAGCTTGCTTCCTTCCATGACCCTAGGCTGACTTGCATATGACACCCTACAAGACAAAATCCACCCGACTCCCCAGACCCTCCTTGGAGGTGGTTTGAGGAAGATCTCTTGGTTCTGGGTGCTGAAGCAGACTCCTCTCACGCAGTTAACCAAGCCACTCCCAGCTTGTCTTATGCAGACTCCCTCTGAAGTGGGGGGTAGTGCTTAAGTACCCCACAGAACTGCCAGGCTGGCCAACGTTTCTTTCTACTTTGGAGGCCAAAAGTGCTCAAGACCCTTATAGGGAAGACAGTCCCAGACCCAGAGAGCTGTAACTGGGATGAGATTCATAGCACCCCTAGCCTACCCTGCAGTACAAATATAGAAGGACAGTCCAGTACAAATATAGAAGGACAGTCCATACACACAGAGTCTGGGGCTTGAACCCAGGACCTTCACAGTGAGCTAACTATACCCTAGTCCTTTTTTTTTTTATTTTGAGACAGAAATTTGCTAAAGCACTAAGTTGCTCAAGCAGGGCTTGAAACTGTGATCCTCCTGCCTTGGCCTTCCAGATTGCTAGGATTACAGATCTGCACACCATACCTTGTTTGTAATAATGTAAGCAGGGAAATGATAGGGTTGGATTTACCCTAAAGAAAAAGCCTTCTGATAATGGCAATGTCCAGTAAGCATGAGAACACTGTTTAATACTTACTTTACAGGGCTCTGTGAAAACTAACCATGCACCCACATGTGGGCCGAGGACCTGCTCACTCTCAGCTCCCCACTGAGACCAAGGGCCACTTAGACACCCTCTGGCCATCTCAGCAGAGACCCTGCTCCTGCTGAAGACCTTGCTTCTTCCTGCTGTCATCTCTTCCCCATCCTTGGGACAGAACCAGAGCTATCCTGTGGTCCTTCTGTATCCATGGAAGGTTGACCCCAGGACCTCTGTGGATACCTAACTCTGCCAATGCTTACATCCCTTATATCAACTGGAATAGTATTTCCATGTAACTGATGCACATCCCGTAAACTTTAAATCATTTCCAGATTAATCATAATACCTAAAACAAGGTAAATAGTATATAAATAACTTACACTGTTTTGTCTAGGGAATGGTGGTGAGAGAAAAAAATCTACATGTTCTGTTAGGCAAAACTTTTTGAAAATATTTTTGATTCATGGTTAGTTGACTCCATAGATGTGGAACTGCAGATATAGTAGAATAACTGTGTCTGGGCAACATTAGGACTAGACTTTCTTGTCTGGATTTAGTGTGCTCCAAACCTCTCCCCTGTTCCATAAACCTTCGAAGAAGAAATCGTGGCAGCACCTTCCAGAAGGAGGTTGTTAGGAGGTACAGGAAAAGCAGTTTAGCATCAATTAGGAACATCTTAGAAACCACAGGGCACTAGCACAGTGAGAAAGAGCTGCTCTGTGGCCCCAGAATTCATCACTCATCATCTTTGCATGAGCTCTCATTGACGGATCTAGGGTTGGATGCTGAGAAGGCAGTAGTTATGGAGAATCAAGTCAGCCAGCAGGGTCCCAACCATTCCTCCAGGCTCAGAAGGAAGTGACAGAGCAGGGCATCCAAGGAAAACAACAGGCCAGGCACCAGCATGGAAGGCAATTTAGAGAGGAGAGAGTGTGGAAAAGTACAGGCACTGGATGAGAAGGAGCTCTGATCATGACCTCCAGACTCAGTTTCCCCATCTGTGGGAGGAAGCCAATCTAAATTGCCAAGGTACAGTGCTACCTCAGCTCACAAATTTGATTCTTTCCATGATTCTGGCCACAAACGGCATCAGATGAGAGCTGGATCAAATTCAGTGGTTAGGTTCAATGCTGACCTTATGGGGAAATTTGATTCGGTTCTCCTCTAATTCAGTTTGCACTCAGAATCGTGGAGAGAACTGAGTTCATGAACTGAGACTTCAAAAAGTCACACACAAGATTCTTATGCAAATGCAGGCCAAACACATTTCAAAGATGGGAGGACCCTGCCCTGTCAGAGAGTGAAGCTTGCCACTGAGCATGCAGGGAACTGCGTGTTCATAGTTATTTCAGGTGGGTGTGGAGTTGGGGTAGAATAAGACTGCTCGGGTACACAAAATGGATTAATCTGCAAAACCACATACTTAAGGATTATCTCTTCTGCTGACACAAATCTGCATGTTCACCCAGAGTCCAGGCCTTTAAAGTGGCTAAGAGCAAAGTCAAAGCCAAGTATGTTCCCCTGGGGAGTTCAATAATCCTGTGCAGTCTGGTAAGCTATGTTTGCTTGTCATGCTGAAAGAATATACCACTCCCCTTTTGCATATTTCCAAGCTTGGGATTGTTTTAAACAGGTCCTGGGCTCTCTTTTGCCCTTTTGCTACCCAGCCCCCGATGTGGCTGTCATTACTCAGCCTAGAGGAAGCTGGCTCCTCCTGCTTCCCCTTCTTCTTGGGCTCCTTCTCTCACCTGCTCCCCCTGACCCCAGAGCTGGCACTGCAGGAAGAACTGGGGCTAGGCTGCCAAGACCATGTTCTCCTGGGCCATAGGCCCATCTGTTGACCAGGCCGCACACAGCCTGATCCCTGGACAGACAGGCTGGCCATTCATTGCCTGCCTGCCTGCCCTAGGCAGCAAGGTGAAAAGGCTCTGGCTCTGACATGGGTGGTGAAAGAGGCGGGAGGCCTCCTTGAGTCCCCCTCTTTTAAAGGAGGAAATATGGTGGATAACTTGGTAGGATCCAGACTTCACGCACTTTGTCTTCCTAAAGTAAGGGCCCCTACTTTGGAGGAAAATAAGCATGGTTAAACATCTCTGATGCCTGAGGCTGGGCATTCCATGTGGACTGTTTCATCAGATCCTGCAAGGAGGATGGTCCTCATTTTGTAGAAAAAGAAACAGGCTGAGTGTCCACCACTGGCACTACCCTTCCAGACATGAGTTCTGAGTTGACTCTAAATCCCGTGCTCCTGTAGGTTCTTCTCTGACTCCCACAAGGCCTTGGGGTGGCTGTCACTAGGGAGGGTGCAGGAAGTGGGGCAGCAGCTTACCTGAGAGGCCACACCTCGATTTACACAAACCTCTCCCTCCAGGATCTCTACGCGCTAGACCTGGAGCCCTACCGCTACTCAGGGGTGAACCTGACAGGGTTCCGCATCCTCAACGTGGACAACCCCCACGTCTCAGCCATCGTGGAGAAGTGGTCAATGGAGCGGCTGCAGGCTGCTCCCCGGGCAGAGTCTGGCCTGTTGGATGGAGTGATGATGGTACAGCAGGCACCCGGATGTGCCAGACCCCAGGGGCTCCCCTCCTTCCTCTCTCTTTCTGTCCTTCCTTCGAATTTCTTCCTTCTCACCACCTCTTAAGACCTGCTGTGTCTCAACCAGACCCCAATCTCTGAGCCTCAGTTTCCCTTGGGGACAATGGGCTCAATAGGATGTGTCTTAGAGGTGACGAGGGCCCCATCTGGTGGGAGTGCATTCCATAAATAACTGGTTACAGATAACAAGGATAAGGATAGGGATCTTGGGTTCCTGAAACTTTTATGCATGACCAATAGGTGACAAGTGTGGCGAGGCTGTACTGGGGATGGGGCAGGGAGGGCAGGCTGAGGACTCAAGGGCTCAGGACTGCCCTCAGACAGCCCTTTGCTCTCCCTGCAGACTGACGCAGCCTTACTATATGACGCTGTACACATCGTATCTGTGTGCTACCAGCGGGCGCCCCAGATGACCGTGAACTCCCTGCAATGCCACCGACACAAGGCCTGGCGTTTTGGTGGCCGCTTCATGAACTTCATCAAAGAGGTGAGTCCCACGAGCTTCACCCAGATTGGGAGCCAGAGTGACTTCTTTTCTGTGAGAAGCTGGTGGGCTGCTTACATTTCTAAGCCTCAGTTTCCCTGGATAAAAATGGGCTCTGGAGGACCAATCTCCCAGGTGATAGAGGGTTAAGTCCTTGGCCCATTCATCATGAATGCTTAATAGGTAGTCAGTTTTGTCAGCAGACTTCAAAGTACCCCAGCAACCCATGGCAAGCTAGAGAACCTTGCAGAGCCTCAGTGGCATCGCCTATGAAATGGAGCAGGTATAGCATGGCCACCTCGTGGGAATGCTATACAGGGGAAATGAGGCACCACATGGAAAGCACTTAGTGCAGTATGAAGACTCAATAAGTAATAATTGGCCCCATGAACTGATCGTCACATCATGGGCCCATCAGCCAGCTTCCCATGGGGTTCCGGCTGGTCCCCTGTTCTCTTGGCAACTGTGAAGTCCCATCCACAGATCTGATCTTAGAGGAGCAGAGAGCAGGAAACCCATCCTGCTGTTGAGCTGACCGTGGAACACAGCATCTGCTTTTAATTTCAGAGGCTTCTCCACCTGTCACTGTCCTTGTAATCTTTGTAAGTCAGAGTTTCTTGTTGCCATTTTCCAGATGGGAAGCTAGGGCCTGGGTTTGCATCCTGGCTCTGTGGCACTGTGTGACTTTGGGGGAGATGACTAACCTCTGACTTCAGCTTGAGATAGTAAGCGTGCCTGCCTCATTGGAGTTGTTGGAAAATTATGTGTAGAACACCTGGTCCAGGGCCTGGCCAGAGTCACAGCCCGAGAAACAGCAGATGGAGAAGGCTAGAGAAGACAAGATCCAGGCTGGGTTATGCTGGGCCACAGGGAGTGACCGTGTCCAGGCAGTAACAAGGACATTAGGGGAAGGCCTTTCAGAGAGCTTCCTATAGACGATCTCTCTGTAACAAGCACAGGACACCAGAAAGGAAGTGAGCTGCCATGGGAATTCATTGAGATGCTATGTGCCTGGCATTGAACTATGCACCAGGCACCCAGTGTGGCTGCAACAGATAAGTTCCACATACACAAAGTTCACAGCCCCCAGAGGGAGACAGTGCCCCTCAAGCCAGCCCATTATGAATATATCCATTGTGCAAAGAAACAGGCCGAGGTTCAGGTATCCTGGCCCCAGGTCCAGTGAATGATCCTCACCATTCACACCCTGTACAGTCCCTGCAGAAACATTCATCTCAGCTCCCATTAGGGGTGCTTGGGCCGAAAGGGGAGCAGCCACAGGGTTCGCCCATGATCCCGTAGCTGGCCACCACCAGTAGCCAGGTGCCCCGCAGGAGCCCAGCATGCATTCCTCCCTGGGTTCATTTCCAAGTTGCCTGTCTCCCCATCTGACTGCATGACAGTAAATCATTTTAAAGACTTGGCATTTCCGAGAGGAGCTGGAAAATACCAGGCCGGAGTTCAGAGCGTGCGAAGCATCTTTCATTTAGCAAGTCCTGTGCTGTGGCTGGAGGGGGCGGGTGGGCTGGAAAATGTCAAGGGGAGGAGTGGCTCCCTGCCCTGCTCTTCTTGCCCGCCCACGGGTTGGTCACACCTGCTGGCATTTCCTGCCTCTATAGCTGACAGGGGAAGGCTTCCTCTGCGCTGGTTTGAAGGCACCTGCTGTGATTTCCCCTGGGGGCCAGCAAATAGCCAGGGGATGTAGGGCCACCCAAGTGAGGGATGGAGAAGGACTGAGAGCCAGCCCGAGGGAAGCTGAGCCTGCCTGTGAAGTAAACAGAGGTTTGCATCTTCTCTGCTGCAGGATTTAGTCTCTGCCCCCTGGTTCCCCGCTCCCTGAGCTTTCTTTGCTACACTCTGGGTTTCCCAGCCTCAAGTCATCCAGCTCAGCCACTGAGAGACTACCATGCCGCGTGGGAACTTGGGATCTGCGTAGCTCAGTCCTTCCTTGAGCTTCAGCATCCACATCCCGTGAAAGGGAGTAAGGATGAGGCCCTGCTGGCAGAATTGCAATGCAAATTCAGTGGGCTCTTGCAGGGCAAGGTAGTAAACAGCCCTCTGTGATCAGCTTCCAGCCTTAGTGACTGCTTCTCTTCCCTAGGCAAGGGACAGCCTTAGTCCTAGGAGCTCCATGTGTAGAAGCAACAAAGTAAGAATCATAAACTGCACCACTTAGCCATTACTGTATATGCAGGCATCGTGCTGAGCACTGTACAAAGCTCTTTAAATACCTGTGAGGTGGGTAATGTGTCCATGCACCTCAGAACACTGAGACCATTTGAGCAAAGCCCTCCTTCCTATTCCTGCTGTTTCTTAGCTTCCCCCACCCCTCTGAAGCTCTGTCTCTCTGCCTTCCTGAGACACTTATTTGTCAAGATACCCAATTACCTGGGAGACTACAGGGCCCCAGATCTGCCCATGTGCATGGAGACTCCCAAAGGTTTAGCTGGGATCCTGTGACCTGAGAACTCATCAGTGTGTACTGGAGTGCTCTCCTGCTCTTTCTGGAGGGGCCTGGATCCTCTCAGAGCTGCAAGGAACCAGACTTGAGGGAATAGGAACCAATGTCCAAAGCCAGGGCTTATCCAGCTTTCCAGCACTCAGATTTGCTACTGCCCCCACACCTCTTCTCTGGATACCTCCTCCTTCTGGACTGAGTGACCCCAGGTTCTCTCCCTTCCTCTTACTCCACAGCCCATCTTTGCCCACAGGACTCTAGGACACATGAGATTTGTTCTCCCAGACACAGAAAGTTTGGGTATTCAGCTGCAGACCAGCTGCTTCCCTATGTCTAAGGGCCAGGGAGAGGAGGGAACAGGTACCAACTAGGGGTGTGGCCTTGAGCCCAGAGTTCCAGTTTGCCTCTCCTCCTGTGCTCTGGGTGGGCTGCCATAGCTTCTAGCCTCCTCCCCCTGGAGCTGCCTTCCAGTCTACAGTGGGATTCACTGCCCTCGCCTGGCCACCTCCTAGAGGTGTTGGGGAGGTCACATGACAAGAATAGTGACCATGCCTTGAGGAATTAATGCTCTGAACCCATTCGAAAGATAGTATCTGGAGAAGGCCTTCTTAAAGGGCACAAAGAAAGCAATTCAGCCTTTGCAAGCTAAGAAGTCTCTGTCTCAAAGATCCCTCTCTACAATTGCAGTGCAAATGCAACCAGAGAGCATGCGATCACCACTAGGTGATAATCAGCTATTCATAAAACCATGCAGTGCCAATCTTGCCACCCTGACCAAGAAGATGGGAGCTTTCCTTGGTTTGTTCTGCCCAAACTCCATCTGCTTCTTTCTTTATTCACAATGTTACTGACAACTTAAAAAAATGATAGAAGTGATCATTTATCCAGGCCTTGTATGTGCCAGACACTGTTCTCAGTCTTTTATAAGACTGATTTCACCCTGAGGAAACTGAGGCAGAGAGGTGAAACAATACCTAAAGTCATGCAGCTAACTGTAATTGAACCTAACACTGACCCCAGAATTCTAAACTGGGATATGCATGGACGTGGGACCTGGGAGAGGGTGCAGTTTTCAGTCCCCTGCCCTTCTGAGTGCCACTCCAGCTATCTGGTTTTATAGCCAGAGCCAGCTGGTCCCTCTGGCTTCTCAGCCTATTGGTGAGCTCACATGCCCCAGCTCTGTCCACCTGCCTCCCTGCCCCTCTCCAGGGATCTGATAGGGGCTCCCCCCTTCCCATGGCACTAAGGCGGGGGATCATTTGAGCACATCCAAGATCGATGTTGTACATGAGAAGGTGCGATGCAAAGCTGGCTAAAGAGCATAATAGAATTTATGGAAATCGCTGGCTCGCACCGCAGCCCGAGCAATGATGGAGGTGATTATTAATTAATCATGGTCTAGGGGGAACAGTATCAGTGCAAGGAGTAATTAAAATGAAGCATTGTACAGTTGTACTGAATGATGATTTATGAGCCCGAGGAATTGCCTCTCTGCCCTCTCCCCTCCACAGGCTCAATGGGAAGGATTAACTGGACGGATTGTTTTCAACAAAACCAGTGGCTTGCGGACCGATTTTGATCTGGACATCATTAGCCTGAAGGAAGATGGCCTGGAGAAGGTGCGTAGGCCCAGGGAGAGAGGTCAGTCAGAGGAGCAGGCCCCTCTGGCAAGCCACAGGCAAAGGCAAGGGGCATAGAGCAAGACCCAGTGTGGCAGCCCCTGGAGATGGGGCACACCTGGTGTGGCTTCCATAGATCTGTGGGCCCAGGAGAAACTCTGAGGCTATGGTCACACTGAGCGGTACAGAGTTCAGTGACCTGGCTATATCAGACACTCAGTCCATCACTCTGTGAGCAACATCTATCAGGGATGCTTAACCTGGGGAACTTAATAAAAGGCCCATGGGGCTGATAGACCGTCTATCTCCAAGTGGCTGCAGGCCTTGGATGGTGCAGCAGGGGCAGATATGTCCTTAGGTAAGAAACTTTCTAACCCACAGCGGGTACCTGCCCAGTGAATAGTGGAACTCACTGGCTATCCATTGCTTTTCTGGGAGCCCCGAGGTAATTCTTACCCTTGCCGGTTGAGACACATGGTCTGAGCTGCCCCACTCCCAATTCTAAGGCTTCTGCTTCCAGAGAGTTTAGACAGGGAGAGCAAGCGCACCTGGGACTGGGCTGCCCAGGTGGCTAACAAAGAAGGTTTTTAAAAAGCCTGTTCTGCTCCCTGGAACCTTCAGCATGTTCTGTCAGTAAGGCTGCTGGGATGAGGAGGGGGATTTAGTATGAGTTCCAACAATCTCAGCCTTCCCTGGGACCCAAGGGCCAGGGGCGCAGCCACACCTGTGCCATAACAGGCTGCACCTTGGGAGCTATTTGTGTGTTTCTCCAAATCCTGAGAGAAGATGTATACAAGACGCAGAGAATGGAGGACAGGATGATTCAGGGAGCCCCTCTGATGTCACTGTTCCTTCAAGGAATTTCCTCTCCCTCCCCCTTACATTCCCTGGGTTGACTTCTCAGGAGGATTATTTTAACCCCTGTGCTCATCACCTATCTCACTCTGGACCCCACAGGCATCTCAAATGTGCACACATGAAACTTCAAATACAGATCTGCCCTGCTCCTAAACTGTCCAGGGCTCCCCAGTACTAAGTTGCTAAGCTTTAGCCTCTCACTCAGGTGTTCCAAGGTCCTTGAGATGTGCCCTACCTGGCCTCCCAGACCTGTTCTCCACTGTTCTCTGAAACATAGCCCACAATCCAGTCACCCCTCCCTCCCACACCTCTGTGCCTGTGTCTGTGTCATTCCCCGGTTTGTAGATGTGATCTGTGTTCCTCAGGCATGCACTTGGCTCTGCCTGACTCAGAGAAATAACTGCCTTGCACCTGTGCCCATCATTCCTCTACTGTTTGTTTGTTTGTTTTTGTTTTTTTAAGACAGGGTCTCACTATGCAGTTCAGGCTTGCCTTGAGCTCACTTTTTGGGCCAGGCTGGTCTCAAACTTGCAACTATCCTCCTGCCTCAGCCTGCGAATGCTGGGGTTACAGGAATGTGCCACCACTCATGGCTGATTCCTCCGTTTATTCATGAATTTGCCAATGAATGCTGAAGCATTTCTTGAGAGTATCCAGGGAAACCTCACAACTATTCTTTCACAATTATTTTATACCACATATGGAACCAACTCTCTGAGGCAGGGGTTACAGTCTTTCTCCTGAGATCATTAAAGCAGGTTGGTCCAACCCCTTGTAAACAGTTCTCAAACTCTGAGGTCTCTTCTAGGTTCTGTTTCCACCCCTGCAGTGGTGAGAGCCCCACCTGCTTCCTGCAGTACTGCAGCGGGGACAGAATTCATTCAAGTAATTGTCTTATTTTTGCATTAGCTACCCATCTCTAGGGAGAGCCTAGAATTCTAGGGATGGCACACATGCCATCACTTCCCATTTCTGTGCCAGTGGCAGGCATCAGTAATTGATCACCAGAGCACGCTTTCCATCTACGCCCACCTGCAACATCCTCCTAACAACCCTCCCGGCGGCTGGTACAAATTGACCGTAGCTAATACTCAAAAAAACTCTCATCCCTAGATGTAGTTTGGCCTAAAGAGTTCCTGCCAGAGGCTCTTGGTCACAGCCACCTAGACTGTGAGCAGAAAGCCTCCTCCATTCTAATTGCTTTCTCATCTCCGTAGCACCTGGCTTCTAGCAAGGCATGTGGCTGGAGCTCAGCAGAGCTCACTGGGCCCAGGTCCCTGTGGTTGATTCAGCTTCTGAGTAATGTTCACTGGGTACTTTCTGCACCCAACTCTCTGCTCCACACCCTAGCACTGAGCTTGGCCCTCTTAGGAAAAGAGTCTCTTTGATGCTGCCTGCCTGTCTGCTCACTTCATGGCCTTCGTGATCTCCTAGGCAGAGATGCTGCCTCGAAAAAGTGCCAAGCCCCAAACGCAGCCACTGTGCCTCTCATGTCATCACTTGTATTTGCTAAGCTGGGTCATAGCTGATCCAGGCAGCTCCAGCCTGTGGCTTTGGGAGGATTAAGGCAGAATTACCCAAGCATAATTACATCTCTCTCTGCTATCTGCTTTGTACAGCTTTCTGAATGGGATGTTTGCATTCGGCCTTTTTGTGTAATTGATTGAGTTTCCTGAATACGCCCCAACTGGGCCAAGGACAGAGTAGACATGCTAACACCTTTCTCAAGAGACAGCAGCCTGGATGGGGCAACATGGGCAGGGTTGGGTCCAAAGGGACCTTCCAAAGGCTCAGATTTTGAGAATGGATTATAAATGTGATCTTTCCTTCCCTCCCTCCTGTCTCAGGCCCTACATCAATGACACTGTGGGGAGAGATTTTCCTACCATGACCAGGATGTCTGCCAACTTTAGAAGTAAAACCACAAAGCAAATTGGCTTCAAGTCCAGTGGCACTCAGTGCCCCCCATGAAGCTCACCCTACCTCGTACTCCTGGGCCTCAAATAGCTTCAGAGATCATCACACACACACACACACACACACCACTTCAGCCTGCCAGCCTGTGCACACACTGCTCTTCCTTTTCTCAGTCTACACATGTCTGGGGAACATCTCCTTGGGGCCAGGCCATCCTAGGCTTTGCAAGGCATCTGGTCCCAGGATCTAGTACTGAGGCTGAGACCCAAAGAGCGAGCAACAGGGTGCCAGGTATTTTCCCAAGCGGGGACCCTTGACTCCCCCCAACCCCATTGCAAGGCATCTTGTCTGCCCCAGGCTGCTTTCCTGGCTCCCTGGAGCTGCCACTTCATTTCCTGTCTGACTCTGCATCTTCCTTTCACTGGGATGAATCTGCCAACAAGAGGAGGGGTGGCAGAACTCAGCATAGTTGATGACTGGGGGAGGATATGGGGACAACAAGGTTCTCTGTCATCAGAGTAGTTATACAGATATACAATTATCAAGATATATAGGCAATGGCAATGATGACAATGACATGATGACTGGGAAGGAGATGATCTTGTTAATGTGGAAAAAGGAAGGGTAGACTGAGGACTCAACACCCTGCATGCACCCTGTCTGTCTGTCCATGCAGGTTGGCGTGTGGAGTCCTGCTGATGGGCTCAACATCACGGAAGTTGCCAAAGGCCGAGGCCCTAATGTCACTGATTCTCTAACAAACAGGTCTCTGATCATCACCACAGTGCTGGTAAGAGTCTCCCACCCCTGCAGGAGGCTGTCTGACTCACAACAGACAGACTACTAGGGCTAGAGAGGTTCCTCCAGCCTCCTCATTTGGCCACATTCTGGGCACTCCTTATGAGGCTGCTGGGAGCCCAAAGGTGGTGCATGGGACTGTAATAATGCAAGAAATCTAAGGTCACTCAGAAAAGCCTTAGAGAGGCCATAATGGAGGTCAAAGGTTGGGGGTCAAACTGCCTACTACAGCAGGACTCACAACTGCCTCTTCACCTTGGTTCCCAGGGAAAAGCCCCTTTCCTCTGTCCCTCCAACTGTCATGGGTGCTGTGGCCACACCCAGAGAACCTGGTGGGTGCCAGGAACATACATCTGTGTCATGCTCTGCAGCGTCCCATCCCAAGCTGGTACCATGACCTCACTGCCTGAACGGAGTTGCATCCCACCTTCTCCCCATGCCTTCCTCTCTCCTTCACCCTCTCTCCTCCTTCAGAAGGACTGAGCAGTGCTTCTCTCTCCTGACACATTTTAACCCATGAAGTAGCTTTTGGGGCCTCCGTGCTCTCCTCATCTGACAGCCCAAAACTGGGCCAGCCAGACCCAGACCACTTGCTCCTTTTATGTTATGTCCATTCCAAGAGGCCAGTGCCTCCTGGGAAGCCTCCTGCAAAGGCTTGGGAGAGATCTTCTCAAAGTCACAGCACTGCTCTTGGGGGCTCAAACCGGGCCAACTTGGGGAGGCACCCCATTCGCTGCTTGATAGAATCTGACCCAAGAGCCTTTGAACATAATTATGACCTTCATCAGTTTCTCTTTATAATGTAGCAAATAAATCTGTAAGTATCACGTGCTAAGGTTGTTCAACTACACAGAAAGAAGCTCAGTCTATTTAGGGTTAAGTGAGGATGCCATGGAATGGGGCTGGGACCAGATTGACCAGCTCTTCCCTGGTGTGTGGATATTGGTGGCTTCTACCCATATCCCAGAGAGTCAACTCATCTAGGCCCCCTTGGATGGTTCCATGTCCACCCCACAGTGTGACTCACCATGTAGTGCTAAGGGGCTAGGTGGTGGGCACCATGGACAGGTAGGGATTCAATGGAAAACATCCAGTCTTTCTAGGATTCTCAAGAAACAGCAGACCGCAGAGCTATTTTGGGTGTTTAGGGAGGAGTTAGCCTGTGGGTCTCAGCCTCCAGGGCTGTGACCACTGAACAACCCCTCAAGGTAACAGAGATCTGATGGTGACTACGGGCAGGCTGCTGATGCAGTTGGAGGAAAAGGGCTGAGGAGACACCAGGCCCCCTCTTTGGGGAACACACCCACTGGAATCTTCCTGACAGCCACATGTCCTGTTTATCTTTGTGGACCCACTTTTTGTTAACTAGACGATTATAAAAAAACAAGCTGCTAAAGCCATTAAGTCAGAACAGGAAACAAACTGTAGTGTAAAAATATAAAAGATAAAAATAAACAAATAAAAAAGAGCAAAGGAATTAGAGTGACACTGATGAGCAATTAAAGGAATATAGATTCCAATAAAAATAGAGAAGATAAAGGGAAAGTGAGAGGAGAGCCAAATAGAAAGTTTAAGAGGAAAATAATGAAGAGAAATGAAGCTAAGGAGTGAGATAACAGGAAAGATATTAAGGAAGACGAAAAATTAAATAATTTACAGCTCTGACTAGACAAGGTAAAAAATGTTAAACCAAAATGTCAGAAAGCAAAAGGATAAAAAGTGTGACAAAGCTAAAATATAAAAGGGTAAAAATAAAATAATAAAAAGGTGGTAAAAGATTAAAAGCAGAGCTGCATAAAATGTGAGATATAAATAAAACACTTTTTGCAAGGCAAGATTAAAAAAAGGTAAAGCTAGTATGATTTAAGAGATTAGGAGGAGAGATGATTAAATGAATGAAGGTCATTCAGCCACAAAACAAAACTCCAAACAGGAAGAGGTGAGCTAAGGATAATATCTCAGAAGGATGCCAAACACAGCCACCTTGAAAGGCCTCAGGGTTAACTGGTATTACAATGGCAGCCGTCTGATTTCAAGGGCATGAAGTCCATCTGCAGAGACCCAAGGGATTTTTTAACCCCTGTGCCAATGCTTAAGGGTTTTTCTTACACGAGCAGAGGTAGAGCTCTTCAGTGCTCTTGACCTGCTTCTTCATCAGCGCTCATGGTTTCTGCAAAGGTCCAACCTGCTGCATTCCTTGTCCCCAAAGTCACACCCACAGTGTGCAACTGGCTCCCAGGCACCACAAGGGGACAGGGAAAGAGAGAAGACCTTTTTGGTTTACCGCCTGGACACAGCTCCACGTGTTCCATTGCCCCTCATTCAAGGCATCGGAATAGACACAAACCCAGCAGCTCTTGGGGACCTGCAGTGTGACCAGGATTCAGGGGCAGGCTGGGCAGTGGCTCACAGCACAGAGCTGTTGGGTGAATCCTGACTACACTGTTGATTTATTGCATGCCCCTGATACATGTTTATCTGTCTGTGCCTGTCTCTCATCTGAAAAATGAAGATATGATAATAATCGTACCTACTTCATAGAGTTGAGAGATGAATGATTAATAAATATAAACAGCACCGAGCCAAGTGCTAAATGATAGCTGTTATTGTCATTCACTGCTATTGATTACAATTCCAGGCCCTGGTGAGCTCAGGTTGAATTCAACACGTGGCTGAGAGTTGTAGAGAAAACCTAAGCTCTGGCCACAGGCAGAGCCCCAAAGGCTGACCATGGTCACAGTGATCATCCCTAGTTTAGGGTCCAGTATGTTATAAACTCTGAACAGACCCTACCACTCCCTGTGTTAATCAGGCTGCTTTTTTTTTTTCTTTTTTGTATTATGGAATAAACCCAAGGGTGCCCTCCCAGTAAGGTACTCCCCCAGTAATTTTACTTATTGAGACAGGGTTTCTCAGGCTGGATTCATACTTGTCATCCTTCTGCCTCAGCCTTCTAAGCAACTAGGATTGTAAGTGAGTACCACTAAGCCCACCTTGTCTGCTTCTTTTAGCTTTATTTTTGAACTAGCCACTGAAGTCATTAGGTGATCTACAGAGCACTTCTGTGGCTCCAGTCTCCAACAGACATAAAACTCCAGATCATCCACTACCTCATCCCTCCCTTAGCCAGTGTCTGAGCTCCTGCCCTGATATCACATTAATTTCCTACCCTGGCCCTGTCTTGACCTCTGACCTGGTTCACTTAAAGTTGATGTCTCATGGCCGATGGGCAATACTGACCACAACTCTGGATCAGATACTCACACAGTGGGAGAATAACCCAGAATCCTCCTCTCCATCCTCACTACCCAGAAATCAATGGAAGGTCACTTGTCTTCTTTCCTTTGGGACAGTAAGGAAACCTGCTCTTTCCTGGGGGTAGGGAAGTAGAAGAGATGACCTCAGGCGGATGAGACAGACTGCTTTTACACAGGTCTGCACCACATTTCCTCTGTCCAGCTGAAAGCATCCTCAGAATCTCCTCAGAGAAAGGTGCTGGCTGCTCCAGATGCTCAAGGAAAGGATAGAAGTGAGCAGCATAGCCCGATCCCTAAGGGATGCCCTCAGGCTCAGGCTCAGGCTCTTGGAGACAGCTGGGAGGGGAGGGGCAGCCTGGCCCACGCCTAGCTGCTTGGGCTGAAAACCCAGCCAGATGCTTGGCAGCCTAACTGTGGGGCAACACCTCCTGCTGTGAGCTCAGGCCCTTGCCTGGCTGGGTGTGCGTTGTCAGGGCAACAGCATTTTGAGTGACAGGCAGGTGCCAAGGCATAGGACAAGAACATCAAATTGCTTTGCCCCTAGGGAATGAAGTCTGGAGCCAAGACCCCTGGTAAGAGGAATTTCCTCTCCTTTTTATTCTCCCTAGGATCTGAATCAGCAGACAGCAGCAACTCTGTGTGGGCTGCCCCCTTAGCTCTCCTTCTGTTCTCCTCTGTCCTGAACCTGAGCAAGGGCTTAAGGATGCCCCACCTTGGACAGACAGAGCATAGAAGCCAATTCCGCCCCAATCACTCAGCGCAGGCGCCTTTCCCACTCCTGAGTGCGAACCACAGCAGGAGCCTTCGAGCCTGCCCTGCCTGCCCTCCCTGCTGGCCCCAGCCTCTGTTCTTGTTCTGCTCTCCCATGCACTCATGAAAAATTCATCTGCCCAAAAACCTCAGCTCACACACCACTGAGAAAGCACACCCGACTTACTCCTGGGGCCCTGCTTTTGAAGGTTCAGGGCTCTTTTGGCTGCTGCTATGAGCAGGATGGGGGGTAGGGAGTAGGGAGTTTTACCAGCTACTTGTGGGGTTGACAGTGTGTTTGTGCTGAGTGCATATTGTGACCCACATGACACAGCTGCCATGCAAGCTGGACCCTCAGCTTCCAGGCAGCAGGAGACAGGGAAAGCCAAGGGGAGAGATGGGTCAGGAGAGCCCTCTGGGCCAGGGACCATTCTGGGCCAATTAGGACTGCTAATTCGGTCTTCTTAAAAGTTACAGTAGCCAAGGTCTTAACTCTGCACCTCTTGTGTGTCCCAACAGGACTGGGCAGGTAGAACATCTGAGCTAGTGGGCTTTTTGTGCCAGTGGCATGGTGGCATGATTCAATCAATGAGGAGCTTGAAAATGCAGCTCTTGGGTGGAGAACCCCTGAATCCTCCTCCACCAATGGATAACCTCCAGGTTTCCTCTTCTAAGTCCATAGTCCTATCACTGAGAAGCTGAACTAGACCTGGCTTTCATGCTGGTCTAAGTAACTATACAGAAACCAGACCAAGAGGAAAGTCAGAAAAGATTATTTTTCTGGACCCCTGTTTTCTGTGACTTGTTGAAGAGAAATATTACTCCTGGTCCTACGGCTGTTCTCCCAGAGCAATAGGAGAGCGTGAAGTTATGAAATTGAGGGCACCTTCACTGAGCAATCGATTAGCAGCCGAGAGAGCTTGTGAATTGGCTGTCTGGACATTTCCAGTAATAAATTGTGAAATAGTCCATGAATAAGTAGTTGGCGGAGTTCAGAATTACCCCCTAGGAAATGTTGCAGGTCTAGAGACACATTACTAAGGCGAGCACCATTTTAATGCTCTGGGCTTTGGCTGTTAAATATGTATGCCATCCGCAAAGCACTTCCCGAAATTAATGGCATTTTACAGCTGCTCCGAAGGCAGTGTATTTATATGGAGATGTATAGATTCTGGGGCTATGGTGGCTTCACAAATGAAGTGCTAATTTTAGAGGAGAAGGCCAGGGAGGGGCCCAGAGCAGGGATCAGGAAGTGAGCTACCTTAGGGACCTTTCCAAAATAGTTTTCCACAGCCAGCCAGATTTTTATATTTGGTGACATAGGATATAGTCTCCAGGCTAAAAAGATCAGTGAAGTAATAGGCCAACCAGCCCACAGGAAAAAGATGACAATGATGATGATGATATTGACAAAACATTTACCAAGGACTAAGTGTTTTTCTTAGCTTGACTTTTTTAATCTTTACAATAACTATTTAGAGCAGGTTCTATTATTACCACTATCTTACATAACAAGGTTGAAATCCATATGTAGTTGGTGATACCTCTAATCCTTTTCCAGAGCTAAATAAAGTTAGGGCTACCAGGTCCAGTATTATGACTTGTTCATTGCACAAGGGCATTGTATTAGTCACTTCCCCATCTCTAGAACAAAGTATGCAATACTCTGCAACTTGGAGGAGAGGGGGTTTTTTTTGCTCAAGGATACAGAGGGTTCAGTCCGTGGATAGCTGGCTACAACACAGAAACAACCTGGTGGAAGTGCATGGCAGAGGTAAACTACTCAACACATGGTAGCCAACAGCTACAGAGAAAGAGAAAAAAGGGAACAAAAATATACCTTTCTAGGTCACACTCTCAGCAACTCACCTCCTCTAACCAGCCACAGCACATTCACTTTTTTTTTTTTTTTTTTTTTGGTCTTTTTCTTTTTTATTGGTACTGGGGATCGAACTCACAACTGCCTGCTTGCAAGGCAGGCGCTTATGCTGCTGAGCTAAATCCCCAGCCCCTAGCACATTCACTTATAAAGTCTATGGTGGATTAATCCACTGATGAGATAGTCCCCCCCCACAAATACACAATCCAAAAACTTTATCCAGCATACATAAGAATTTGAAGACATTTTAGATCTAAACTAAAGCAAGCATCAAACAAAAGGATGTTCAGACTAAAATCCTACCCAAACCCTACTCACCAGGCCCTTTGCCAGGGTGTGGGGCAGCATCTGCTTTCAGATTGTCATGAAGGAGTGCATAGATTAAAAAGAGATTCCTTTGATGGAGGTAGCCTTGACATTTTCAGGATCCCATCCCACACCCACTCCCTGATCTTCTCAACCTTGGAAAATTGCCTAACTGTTTGGAGGGTGGGATTGAGAGGCAGTGAGATTTAGTATAGAAGTCAACCAAAAATTGCCAAAAATTGCTTCCCACTCATTGGACTGAGAAATGGTTTTCTCAGAATCCCTAGAGCATCAGGAACCCCTTAGAGATTCAAATAGTCTTTGGCTGTTTCTCCAAAGCATCCCGCAAAAACCCCCTGAAGGAATCAGTCATAGAGGGGATGGGATTTTGAAAGACAGCATTGTAGAGAACCCAGGCCAAAATACTGAGCCAGCCTGCTGCAACCAGAACCTTGCTGGTGGCTACTGGTAGGTCTCTGCTCCCAAGGACTTACAGCAAAGGTTTTCCCTGGAGCCAAGATAACAGCTTCCTTAGGGAAGAGAATAGAGATGCTCCCGTAGTTAAGGCTGTGCCTTATCATGGGCAAATAGACACTGGTTTCCCAGGACACATACTTTCTGTCAGCTAATGGCTACCACCTCTCAGCATTCCACCTCTGAGGCATTCTGATGTGTGAGGGTGCCAAGGTGGGCTTGGGGAAGGTTGGCCAGCAGAAACAGGCAGAGAAGCTCCAGGCAGGAACAGGGTGAGGGGCTGAGAAAGGACTAGAATGGGCCGTATACAGCATGGGAATGAAGCTCTGAACCTGAATTTGAGATCTAGAAAAGTAGGTAAGACTGATTGCATGAGAAGAAAGGAAAACAAACACAGGCAAAGGTACAGATTGGCTAGGAAGGATTGAACTAGATCCCATCAAACCGTGTTCAGTTCATATGTGATACCCCCTGAGCCACAGTTTCCTCTTCTCTCAAACAGTAATAATATCACCTATCTTTTAAAATCAAGAGACTTAAAGAGTCAAGAGTTTAAACTAGTGCCTGCTACACAGTAAAAACTCAAAAAGTGTTGAGTTTTCTGGGAAATCAGGTGTACCACCACAGACCTTAGTGTGGGGACTCATACGTGGGTCTGGACAGGTGGAGCCGGCCAGAACATGCACTTCCACGTGGACTTGGATTCTGGAATGATGCTGTGGGCCTGGATCATGCCAGTCCCTTGCTCTGTGTATCCCACCCTGGACGAAGCCATGCCAGTTCTTTCCACCAACTTTTCTGCCTCTCCTCCCAGTCGATCTTAACAGGGTGTTGTTTGTGAATGAGGAGTTAGGCAGAGCCATTCTCTACTCCAAACCCTTCCCTGGCTTTTCATCAGTAGGACAAGAAGGACCACAAAGCAGGGAAATCTGCACAAGATAGATGTTTCTGGCCCTTCCAGTCGCTTCCTAAGGATCACCATGAGGCTAGGGGCTCTGGTATAGAATTTGCTTTCTGGGGTCAAACTCCTCCCCAGTTCAAATCCCTGCTCAGTGCCTGCTGGGCAAGCTGATACAAATCACCTGTCCTCCTGAACTTCACTTCTTGCATCCATAAAATTAGATTATTAGCACTTTCCCTGAGGGGTTGACAGTATGGTTAAACAAGGCATCACCAGCTTCTTTCTATCGTGCCCATTCTCTGCTGGACTCCATGAAGAGCCCTCTGCAAGTGTTAGTTCATTTGCTTATTTCCTGGGCCTGGCACAGCCCCATACAAATAAAGCTGTTATCAGTTATCACTCACCTGGCAGATCCTAATGTGGGAGCACTGAAGATCCCTGAAAACAATGGTGTCAGGCGTGTGTAGATTTTATCTGCTATTCAGGAGTTGGAGGAGAAGCTGGGATGACACTTGATGAAGGGCTTTCCACAACCCAGTCCTCCAGCTTGACCTGATGCCAGCACCCTCTGAAGGGCTGGAAAACACAGGTTTTCTGAGCCCCATCCAGATTTTAGGTAGTTTAGGTCTGGAAGGGAGCCCAGGAATACACATCCCTAACAAGTTCTAGGAGATACTGTTCCACTACTAACTAGTTCTGTGACCACTGGGTGATTAAATCGACCTAACCCTTACCTTGAACCAGCAAGTGCCAGTAGGTTGCAATTGCAGGGCCCCGAATTGGTTCTTAAAAGATGTGAGTTCCCTCACCCCAGTCCCCTTAGACCTTTCATTCAAGTCACTCCAATTTTTTTTTCCTAAAAACAAGAGCAAAAGTTTCACCAAATTCTCCAGCCTGTATCTGCTCCCACCACTCCCACAACCGTTGTCTTCTGCTCTTCCATCTGTCCCTGCAGGAGGAACCCTTTGTTATGTTCCGGAAGTCTGACCGGACCTTGTACGGAAATGACCGATTTGAGGGCTACTGCATAGACCTGCTCAAGGAGCTGGCGCACATCCTGGGCTTCTCTTATGAGATCCGGCTGGTGGAGGACGGCAAGTATGGGGCGCAGGACGACAAGGGCCAGTGGAACGGCATGGTCAAGGAGCTCATTGATCACGTAAGCGGGGAGAGGAGCAGCGGGGAAGAGGATGAGGGTCACAGGGGTTGGTAATGGGGCTGTTTGCACATCAGAGGAGGGAGCCCAGAAGGCAGGGCCCTGAGAAAAGATGGAGAGAAGCCAAAGGCTTGCTTCCACAGCAGGGGTGCAATCAGGAGGACCTGAGTTCATGTCCCGCTTCTTCCCTTCTCAGCAATGGGGACAGCAAACTCATCTGACCTTTGTGATCAACACTCTGTTCTGTGAAATGCCTATGCTAACCACCACCCCACTCTTCACAGGCGTGCTGAGACACTGATATAAGACCCAGCCCGTAGTTACTTTAGGAAGCCTTATAAGGTGCTATACACCTTAGTTCTTGGAGCCTGGGCTGGGGTCCAGCAGATCTGGGGTTCAAATGCCACTTTACCACCCATTCTGTGCATGACCAGGTAGGTTCACCAACTTCCCAGAGCCTCCATTTATTCATTTTAACTGCAGCAGGAATTAGCAATCCTGCAGCTGCCATAGTCCTGGGAATGAAATGAGGCACTTTGTGCTCTCTTACCTGGGCAGATTGAATACTTCCTGCCTTCCTGTTCAGGGCACTCAACTGGGCAAAAGCCATGTGCATCAGCAAGGAATTCTTTCTGAAGCTCATGGAGGCAAGGATACGTTCCAGATCCCTTTGATTCCTCCTCTCCCTTCTTTGAACAGCCTGCTGAGGGAGGGGCCATCAGTAACTCCCATTTCACTGATGCAGAGGCAGAGAGAGAAAAATTCCAGCCAGTAAGTGGTGGAGCTCGATTCAAAGTGGTAGAGTCCTTGGAGACTCTGTCTAGGTGGCCTCTCCAGAGAGCCCGTTCTGACTCAGGACTGGGGCAGAGGCATCTCCCTGCAGTCGGTGTTAGTGGCCCCGTAGTCCCAGCTGTGGTCAGGGCTTGTCACTGCTGCTACACCTCCCGGGATGGGGCAGTCAGCACCAGGCCTTCTATGAGATGCCTCCACTGTGGTGTGGCTTCTTTATGGAGGCCTTGGAGACTGGAGCTCAGAGCATGAAGCCTGCCTCGATGGTCACATCCTAGGCTGCTGGAAATGGATCTTGAGGGAGACTGATAGGAGAGAGGCTGATGACAAAGAGCATGAACTTGGGCCAGGTTCAGTTCTCACTCTGCCATTTCAGTACTGTGTGTTCGTGGATAGCTTCTTCCCTTCTCTGCCTCAGTTTCCTCATCTGTAATAGAGCAATGATATGACTAGGACATACCTCCCAAGATTGCTATGAGGACTAAATTAGTGTATGTGCACTCACTAGTCAGTGAACACAGCCTCAGGATGTGCTATTTTTATTTTTATTTTTATTTTTACCCTCCCAGTTATTTCTCAGAGGCAGCGGGAGGGAGGGGGGGTCAGGAAGTCCCTTTGTCTCCCAAGCTCCAGTTTCCTGACAGTGAGAATAATGATACCTGCTCCTTGCTCTTCCCAGCCTGCCATGAGGCTCAGAGGAGACAGCTGGTAGGGAAGCAGCTCCCTAGGTTGTGGAATTTGGTATAAATGGAAGGGAGTGGTATTGTCACCACTATTAGTAATAACTGTAATTACTATGGAAATTAGTCAGTAAGCCCCAGCAGCACCTCCATGTTATTCCGCTACCCTGGGTGTTAGGAGTGGGAGCCTGGAGACTGAGCCCCAAGTGGGCTCTGAGCCTGGCATTTGCAGAGGGGAGCTGTGTTGGGAAAGAGGGGTCACATGGACAGCAAAAGCTATTGGGGCAGAGCGGGCTGTGCTGAATGCATCTCACCCCACACCATCTCCAGTGCCTGAGAACTTGAAAGAGTCATTTTTCTAAAGGAATGTAGTAAGAAAACACCGCAGCCAGAGCTTCCGGAGCTGCCCTGCCCTCAGCTGGGGAGAGGAGGGAAGCTTCATTCAACACCTCTGTAGCAGAGCAGGGTTTGGGGAGGCCCAGGATCCATCAAGGCCGCGAGCCCTGATGGGACATGCAGGGGATCTTGTTAAACCCAACTCCCTACAATTGATGAGCCTATTAATCCTAGCTTGGTGCCATTTTTAATAACATCATAACCATTTATTAGTGTTGTCAGATAATTAGTCTTCTCACTAGCTCATAGAAAGCGTGGTAAAGACTTGGCAATATTATTACTTCCTTATTAGGGATCTGAACATAGACGTAAAAATGATGAATACTTATCTTTGTCAGTGTCTGCCCCCTGAGCCCCATTTTGAGGCTCTGGGTGGAATCTTTGACCAGTAGGACATAAAATGTCCTTCCTTGACACCTTGCTGGCCTCCACCCCATGGAGCCAGGTTATAGAAGAAGACACAGCACCTGGGGAGGCATCTCCTTCCTGCTGACACCCTCAACTTCCTGAGTGACCTTGAACTACAGGACCATCAGACACATTCAACAGAGCAGCGGTGCTGCCTGCCTCCAGCCCCTCTCCACCCGCTCCTCTTGCTGGCTCTAAATCCCCTCCCTCAGACACTGTCTACTTGTTTCCATGCCTTAAGTGTCTCCCTTGTCGAATGTGATAGAAATGTGTTCAAAGCCCAGCCTGGCACACAACTGACAGTGGGAAAGTTATCCAGCCTCACTGGCCTCCATTTTCACATCTACAAAGTGGGAATAATAGAGGCATCTTCTGCCCAGGGTTTATGGGAAGATTTAAGGAGATAAAGTCTCAAATGTGTACCAGAACACCTGAAGCTCAATAAATATATGTAGGAGCTGTCTTATTCAGCATTCTTCCCTCTAGGAGCAGCCCCCAATCTAAAGGGTGTCTGTGTTTCTCCAGGCAGTGAGAGGGATGACCTACCAGGTACAGACATCCTGCTAGACCATGGTTTAGGACAAGGTCTAGGTTGTGGCAAACCTATGGCACATGCTCCGCAGTGGGCATGCAGAGCTGTCTCTGTAGGCAGGTGAGCCAAGTTGCCCCAACAGCCAAACATCAGATATTCAAGTTTAATTTCAGCGTTGGCACTTAGAGATAAATAAGTGGATTTTGGATTGCAGTTTGGGCACTCAGTCTCTAAAAGGCTCACCCTTTCTGGCCTAAGACTTAGAGGTCCATATCTAGATCTTATCTTGCCAAATTCAAATATGCAACCTTGGAGAATTGACTCACACTGATCAAACTCACAGGGATCTGAGGCCCATACCAAAGTGCCACCTTGCATTTTATTTACAGGGGTCAAAGAAGGATGGGACTGTGGGGAGGACTCAGATTTACAAGTACAGGAAAGTAGAGAGAAATGAAGAATGAGCAGCACTCACGAATTTCCTGAGGATGGAAAATCAGCCCTAGCTTGAGTTCCTGAGTGCCCCGACCTGGCCTCCTACAAAACCTGTTCTCAGAGACCCAGAGTAGCCTGTCCTGGCTGCTCACCCAGCCCTTGAATCTGAGGGATTAAGGAAGAAGGAAGATGGAGGAAAGGCCTAAAGTAATGCATAAATACCCTCCAGGCCGCAGCAAGCCATCAGTTCCATGATCTCTCAGTTATTAAATGTCACTCTAGTACATACAACCTGGTAAAGACTTCCCTGGCTCTTAGATGGGCCTGGACCAAGATGGGGACACAGAATGGTAGAGAGTAGCCTTGGTATATCATTCCTTCCCCTGTGAGGAAGCTGCACTCCCCGGATGGCCCCTCTGCTTCCCCAGAAGATCAAATAACTGATGACTTGCTGTGGCCTGGAGAGTAGCATGACACAAAATCAAAAATGTCCACCTCCTTCCTCCACCTGACTTTTTCTAGACAATGAGTACCTGAAAGACTGAATTTGGCAGTTGTCCAGCATCTGGCATGAGCCAGACACACACAGAGTAGGCACTGGCAAATATTGGACACACGAATGAGCACAGATGTGCTCACCTTGCCTTGACTGTGGGGTCATAACTAGCTGGTTTCACCTCTAGAGTGTGTGAAGGGAGGATCTGGTGTCCAGACCCCCATGATCTCATCACCTACTGTGTTCCTCATCTTCCAACCAAGACCTAATTCCTAATTGTGGACTGTATGTACTGGTATTAGGAGAGGTCCCAAAGCCCTGTTTGTGTAGCCAGCAAAAGCCTTGCCCAGGCCACCTCCATCTGGCATGGCCAGCACACTTGGAAGCAAGGCATGCTAGGACCCCACTTGGCAGGTCAGAATGCTGAGTGGATTGGGCGGCTAAGGGCAGAAGGAACATACAGGCTACAAAGGTGAGCTCTTTTCAGGGCTACAGATTCCCCAGAGCAAGGACTGGGAGTTGTGGGGGAAGCTCAGAATGTCATCAGGATGTGTCTGCAGGGGACTAGGTAAGCAGGTGAGGGATGTCCCAGGCCTTAGCCAGCAGAGGCCACCATGGAGAAAGGTCAGGAAAGGGCCTGGCAAGAGTCAGGATCTAGACAAAGAGGTGCCTGGTAGGCCAAGATGCAGGGTCAGGAGGAAAACCAAGGTCAGAGGGAACAGCTGGAATGGCAGGCTCCCTGGCTGAGGCCCATCCTCTGACTCATTCATTCAGCAAAACTCCGTTGAGTGCTGTCTCTGCCTGGGCCCCTGGAGAGCAGAGGCCTGAGCCATTAGTCAGACAGCATGATGCCAGGAGAGTGAGGAACAAGGAAAGAGGAGAAGGAAGGAGCAAAGCCAATGTGAGAGCTACAGCTAGTGATGCAATTCATGTCCCTGCACCCAGGAAGAGCCTTACAAGGCATGTCTGAGGACCATCTCAGGGGGTTAGTGGAGGCCTGCGGACAGGTTTAACCACTGCTGACTTCCACGTGTCTGGCTTGGACTTGGTGGGTGTGGAAACCAATCAGAACCCTGCAGCAGTGCCCCAAGTGGGCAGCAGTTGAGGTGTTATCAGATTGACAAGAGCTAGAAGGTCTGTGAACCTGTGTATGAACCCCAGCATCAACTGACAGCATACTGGCTTCAGGACAATGATATAGGAGTGACTGAGGCAGACATGGCCTCTACCCTTAACCCTTTAGGAACAAAAGATTTTCACCAAGCTT